CACTGAGGTCTCAGTTGTGACCCGAGGCCAAAATGCAGTTATGTCTGGAATGCCATAGCTGGCCTGTAGGCTGGAGAACTATGCCTAATCAAGTGATTTTTCCCTAGAATTATGTAGCATTGCTCCCAACAAATCATAAATTCATCAGACTGGTACTCAGGCTTGTTTCTAGATGCTCTCCCTCTCTTCTGGGATGGCAGATGGTCTTTTGGCTTAGACCTGCTGCTTGATCTCCAAAGCAGGGCTTTTTGGCAGAGCTGTGACCTTTGCCTAGGCTTGGTCTAAAAGGGAAAAGGAGGTGAGGGACAGAAAGAGCTCCAGGCTGAGCTCCAGGTTGCAGGCTGACCTCAGGCAGCTCCTAGACTTCTTGTTCAGGTTGTACCGTTGCTCACATTACGAAAAGCACCCCCCCCCCCCATCAGGTCTTTTCTCTCTGGTAGATGGTTCCAGGTACCACGCTGTCCAGTCCTGAGTTGCTTTCATGTTGGGAATTGATCTAGAAATAGATAAACATATGGAAGTATCCCCTTCCCCTGAACAATTCTTGAGAACTATTTCTTGATAATCAGGTAGCATTTGACTATAGGTAATTTTAGGTTGCCAGAGTGGCTGTTGTATTCAGAACAAAGGCTTCTAATTGGGGGGAGTGTGGAACAGAGACAGGTCTAGTTCTGTGGTACATATAGCTATGGCTGCCCTGAATGAACCAGTGATCCTGGATAAGTCACTTCAGTTCTCTCAGTTTCCTCACCCATTTAAAAAGATGAGATAAATGTTTTATAATAGGACATTACCATCCCTAACTTTCCTTCCACTTTCAAAGTTGAAATAACATATGGACTCTGCAATTTATTATCCCAAACTCTTAAATTGTTTCCAGTAAAACTTGAGCAAAATGCAACCGTTTAATGATTCATTGAAAAACTATATAGTTACAGTACTTCTTTATTAAAAGATGCCTGTTATGTACACACACATTCACAGACACATCTGTGTTTATATATGGATAGATGTTTGTATATATGTGTGTGGGTACTGATCTCAAACTGTTTAATTGTTGTAATTCAGATAAGTAAAAACATGACAATATTTATACTAAGTCACAAGTAGGAGAAAATGAGCTCTTCGGGTCATTTTTCTAGCTACCTGACTCTGGCTTGCATTGTATGGAGCAGAGGTGTACAGACTATGCCATGTTGGACTTCAGAGCTCGATAAGGGTTCTCTGAAATCCAGGAGACCTTTTAAACTGTGCTAACCCAGTTGGGGAGCCCTGTAGACTTCTGGTTTCCATGGCTTGCACTGTCTGTCCACACTTGGGGATACTCATTTCTCTCTTCCCTCTCATCTTCACACACCTCACTGTGATGTTAGGTTCCCCCAGCATATTTATTGCCTTGTGCTGATGGATTAATTGGTTTGTGGGGTTAGGGTGGCTCTCATGCCTCGTCTGCCTTGGTTAAGAATATCCCATGGTCACAGGACAAGCTGTATATCAGAACTTTACCTAGTACTGTGCAACCAGGAGAGACAGCCACAGGGATAAAGCTGCAGTTGGTGTTCCTAAACCCTGATGTCAAATTTTCACATTCATGCAAACAACTTAATTGTTCTCCGTGATAGACTTTATCATAAGAACATATTATACGTTGAGCTTTTTAGAAACATTTGGAAGCCACAGACAGTGATAAGGGCACAGATTTTAGAGGCAGACAGTTTGGATTTGAGCCCTGGTTCCCGTCCTTTCCTAATTACATGATTTTAGACACAGATTCTCTAAGCCATAATTGTCTCATCTGTACAGTGGGCCTGCTCTCCAGCAGGCCAGATATGTTTCAAGTTTATAGATAGGAATACAAATGAGCCTAGTCCGGGGGCTGACACATAAAATGTTCAACAGTTGGTAGCATGCTGAGGATTACTCACTGTGTTTCATGTTTGGCCACTAAGGATATATATACTTGTGTATGCATATTTACTTTATATACATGTGAACATAGCATATGTCTACCAGGGAAATATATTTTCTCATAATTTAGAGATGTTTTAGCAGATTGTAGCGACAACATTTCTCTTTCTGACACATACTTGTGGCAAATTCACTTAATTTCCCTCTTTTTTTCATTTTTAAAATGTGGGGAGCTTTAACAGTAATTTCTTGTACTTTCATTTCTCCTAATAGGAAAAAAAAAATCTAACAGCTGATGGGAATTGCCTTTATGCATTGAAACTCCAAAAATGCTGCTTTGTTTTTATGGACAGACTCTTTGTGGGTGGACTGCAGAAATTCTTGCTGTTGGAAATGTTTTTAAGCCCCTGGGAAACTGAGTAGGGAAAAAAAGAGCTAATTAAAAAAGCTACCATCCACCTCCTCTAATTAACTCGCTCTCTGCTCCCAGGAGAGGGCGCAGGAATATGAAAACAAGCCAGGCAGCACCGGAAGTGAATGCCATTCTGTGGTCCATGGTGGTTCCTGCTGTTTTGATGCAGAGACGGGTTCATAGTAAACAGGCGAGGAAGCACAAAAGGGCTTAGTGTGCTGTGTCCTGTGCACCCCCCCACAGTGCCTCCCTCACAGGCTGGGTGAAGGGTGGTCCCTTGGAGCAGGTGTGCATCCTGGCAGCTGCAGCAGCGGAGACCTCATTGGAATTCAGCAGTTAGAACCCAAAGGCATCTGGCCCTCCCTATTCCTGTGCTGTTGAGAAAGACCAGGGCCCTTTGTGCTCCAAAGCCCCGTATTGTCTGTGCAGTGCCCAGGGATGCAAAAGGGGTATAAGCATTCGGTCCGTCGCCCTGTATCTCAGGTTGAGCTGGGGAGCCTGGGTCCTCTGGACGCTGGAGAAGAAGCTCATAGCATTTGTGGCTGGGGATAGAGCTTTTTTGGTTACAGTGAAAAAGATTTAGACTTGAGATACCAGTGAGAATATTAGGGGTGGGAATTTGGGAGACAGTGGCTATTCTTCAGTGGAGATGGATTTCGGCTCCTGGCAGATGTGGTCCCCCATGGAATGGGCCCGGAGGCTATGGACAGCGGTGAGCCCCAGTGGAAACTCCAGGCTGCTAGCGCTTCAAGGAAGTGCTGGAAAGAGGCAAGTTGACGCTGTGTGTCTTGTAAACATTGCTCCCGATGCAGTAGTGCTAGGGGCTGGGGTGAAAAGTGGCTCCCACGGTTTTATCCTGGGCCCACCAAAGTGATCTGGGTTCTCGTTCCTCTTTCCTGCTAAGCTCTGCGATCTCCTTGTGTTTTCCATACCTGTAAACAGACTGCAAAACTTCAGGTACCTAGATCTGTTGTTATGGGAGCATGGGTGGATCGAAACTTGTCCCTGTAAACAAAAGCTTAAGCTCTTTAATATTAATGCATGTGTAAAGAGTCAGTGCCTCCCCTGCTGTGTTTGGATGAATTAAGTATTTACTCATGAAATTTAATACTATGCTGACTTGGTCTCATTGGATCCCATCAAAAGCAGCTCTGTTGATTTCTTCTGGTCCCTGGAGGACTTTGTGGCTGACTGGAGGAGCCAAGGTCCCTGGGGGGAAGGATTGTGTGGTGGTGATCTTTGGCACTGATAAAATGAGCTGCCCACAAAAACGTTGTAAAAACAATAGTGCTGCAGATTTTTTACAGGGAACCCAGCAAACAGCTCCTTTCTCTGCTCCTGGCAGATCGTGGAGGGAATGGTTTGGTTCCTGGTGCTCTTTGTGATGGCTGATAGTCTTTAGAAGATGGTGACCTGTATGAAGGTCGCTGATCCTTTGACCCTGTGGGAACTCAGCAGCACAAGTGTGTCTCAGCTTTGGGCGATGTGGTAGTGACACATGTGAAGCCCTGTGCAGCCCATCACTTTGTGCTCTGTCTTGCCTGCCTTGTCACCCTCTGATTCCAGTCTTCACTGGATTGGCTTGCTGAGATCATTTGTGCCAATCTGAAATTCTAAGTATCCACCCATTTGGTGGTTTACTGCCTTGCTGCAGATGAATCAATTTGTACTTGGGTCTATTTAAACCATTTCAAGGTGGGAACCAGCCTGCTGCTGCTGCTTCCATGCTGGCTTCCCCTGCAAGTGAGGTTGGGCACTGGCTCCATGGGCATCTGGAGCCATGGGGCAGCTGCTTTCTGACCTCAGGCACCCAATTGTCAGTGACTGGAGGAACCTCATCCTTCTGGCTTCAGGTGGAGCAGCCAGGGGAAGCAGAGGAGAAGAGCTGCCTTTAGCCCAAGGCAGGGTTTTGGTCACTGACTTCTACTTGTGAGTGTAGAGAGCTTCCCTTGTGAACTTTTGGTCAGCTCTCTGTGTAAAGAAACTTCCTTGCAAGTGGATTTTCCTGCAGACCAACCAGGGTCGTGTTCATTCCTATGTGGTTGGCAGACTGTGCTTTGTGACTTGTCTGGCACAGCATCCGCTGGCTGGCTTGCATTCATTCATTCACCAGATTCATTCACTGGCTTCATTTTAGGCTCAAGGATGCTGTGATAAACAAGGCTGGCTGCCCCCCCTGGAATTTGCAGTCCAGTGAAAGAGAAAGAAATAAGATTAGGAATTGAATGAATCTATGCTAACAACTTAAGAGAAATGCTGGGAAGGCAGGGAAGTGGAGGGAATGGTGGGGTGAAGTGGGAAGAGGGCGAATGGGATGTAATTTCATAAAGGAGGGATCCAAGGGGGTGTCAAACACATAGACTACCTCCATATTTGTTTGACTGAATTGATGAAATAGTGGGTGCCAAAATCCCCTGTGTGTATTTGCCAGTAAGGTGAGAAGTATGTGTTTTGAGTAGAGCTGAGTTCAAAGAATCCGCCACTGGGGCACAATCAAGGGCAGTGGTGAGACTCAGCTTTGGGAATTATGCCACCAGATGACTTTCATTATGTGTGACCCCAAACAGTTGAATCAGCCAGCCAGTCTGAATCCTCCATCCCTGGGTCAGAGCCATGCTGTCTGCTCAGCAGAATTGCCCCTTGCCTCCTGTCTAATCTGTGTTTCTCTTCTCTCCACCAGGAGTTCGGACTCTGAAGAAGCATTTGAGACCCCAGAGTCAACAACCCCAGTTAAAGCTCTGCCAGCCCCACCCCCGCCACCCCCTGAGGTTATCCCGGAACCTGAGGTCAGCGCGCCGGCGCCAGCCCCAGAAGAACCAGGTAACCAAGGGTCAGGAGCCCACAGGAGAGCACAGTGCCTCTTCCTGGAGCTCAGCTGGAGGCAGAGAGCAGCCCCAGAGGACAGTCAGGGGTCCCTTGGCTGTAGGCTCTGTTTCATGTATTTTGTGACTGACTATTCAGGAGGCAGGCAGAGTGGGTTGTGCTGGGTGTGTTCTTAGAAGTTTATCTACTTGTTTTGCTCTGAGGGCCTTTTGCTTGAATGCTTGGATGGGTTTGAGGGCTGTGTAACTGGGCAAGGAAGAGTCCAACAGGGACTTAGATTCTGTATTTGACACCTTGCTCCCACAAGAGTGCTGGTTCTGGACAGCTTGTGTGACTCTGTCCTTATATCCTAAGAACATAGCTCCCGCTGCCCCTAGGAGTCAAAACAGTAAGAGAAGGGAGGAGGCACATCAGTCCCTACTGACTGATCTCATGTTAACTGATTTTGAAAAATCACTTTCCCACATCCTTCCTTCTCTTGTATGATTTAAAATACTGTTAGGTGTCATGTGGATATGGTGAAACTGTGGGGTGTGGAACAGATTTCCCCACCTGTATTCCACTCACGTGGCTGGTGTTCTGTGTGCTTCACCTAGTTACACCAGGGGCTTGGGGATGGCACTGCCGCTGGCGCAAAGTCTGATATGAGGCCTAGAAGGAGATGCAGCCTGCCGGAAATGGTCCTTTAGGCTGGTCAGACGCAGGGATTGCTGTCCTTAAACCCGGACAGATCTGGGCCCGTGTTTTCGAGGACCCTGCTCTGAACTTCCTCAGGCCCCGTCCCTGCCCATGTAACAACTTGGCAGAGGCAGCTCCCTCTAGACAGGCACTGGAAGCCTGTGAGCAGACCCTTGCAAGGGCCATCTCATTCCCAATCTTGGCCCATCTTCCTGAGGGTCCTGTGCTTGCAGAGGAACCAGGGATGGGGCTGGGACCTGTGCGCCTGGGTGTCCACAGTCCACAGCCTGGCTTGAGGCATCCATAGGTGAGGGATGGAGTTAGCAGTGGGAGAAGGGCACAGACTGCAGGTGAGATTCCATTTGTCCTTTTGGCCTGGCCAGGAGCCAAGCAGGCTGTAAAATACAACATTTTGGCCTTGATGTTAGTTTCAGAAAAAAATGAGTGGAATTCATTTTCTCTGCCCTCGGTTTGAGCAGGCCAGTGGTTGAGAAAGGATACATGCCAGGGCTTTGATCCTAAACGGATAGGTTCCCCTGTGCTGGGGAAAGATGGCAGGGCGTTTTCATCTGAGCGAATGCCTTGGCTGGTGTCTGGCACATGAAGTTTTCATATTCTCCCCTCTGACAGCTCCTCAGCCAGCAGCGCAATCTGGATTCTGCTGAGTCAGTGTAGATGCTGGGCTCTGAGAGGATAATGAATATCCTGATTTTTATTATCTGGATGATCTGATTTTATGGTGGAGAAGAGCCAGGAAGGCTGCTTCCAGTTCTTAGAGAGTCATTTCCATTCCCTCGTTTATGTCATATAATAATGCCTATTAAAAATGTAATTTCCATATTATTTTTACAAATTTGTCCACAGTTTTTAATGGAAAGTGGCTATTAGATAACAAACACATTGTAATCCTTAGGTCAGACATGTGAGTAAGGCCTGTGTAGGGCAAGGCCATTTCTGTGACCCAGGATGTATTCCCTGTCAAATGCCCTAACTACTCCTCGGAATGGTTTCCTGCCTCTCTTTGTTGGTGTTTTTCTTCCTTGTACCTGACTTCCTTTTCAACAGAACAGAGAATAGTCTCTGCCCGTAACACATGCACAGCTCCCATCTCTCTTAGATGGCAGTTAATGAAAGAATGTGTATTATAGAGGCTTAAGTGATAACTCCTACCAGGGTAGGGGTTTGTTCATGTGATTGCCACTGAGTCACTGTCCCTTAGAGCCTTTGATTATGTCCACTGGAGTCTTTGAACAGGGAAGGCGGCAGGGACTTTACACTTCTCCTTGGAAAATTGCAGAATGAAGTTAACAGTGTGGGGATTATACAATTAAAAAGGTGGAAGGTTGGAATTGTGTTTATTCATAGACCTCCTGGGCTGCTGTGTATAAAAGTCCATATGACTTGCTGCCCTTCTTAGAAACTACCTCCCAGAAGTAGCATTCTGCAGATCTGCATGGGGCATTGCAAAGGCGTGAGGAGGCAGCTACACTTGTTTGTGTACGGGGCCATAGGAGAGGAAAGGTTTGTTCTGAGAACCATGGGAAAGAAAGGGCAGGAGAGGAAATCTTTTGTCTACTTTTCCTTTGCAAAGTGCTTGAAACGTTACTAAAGCTGCTGAAGGAACCATGTGAAATAATAGATAAGAATGTTGGCTGTGAATGAAGATATTTTTCCTCTTGGAAACCTACACTTTACAAAACAGTCTTCTCACTGTGTGTTTGTGTTCCCATCATGTTTTTACTTCCTGAGACAAAAGGACAGATGCTGGGTGCTTACCTGGCTCCTGCCCCCATCTGGGGTGGGCCAGGACTCAGCTCATCAAAGCCCAGTTTTCTTATCTGTAAATGAAGAGAATGATGTGAGAGTCCTCGGCCATCTCTTCCCCCTGACCCTCCAGGGTCCTGTGAGTGGAACCTTAAGTATTAGAGAGTGACTGTTACTACAACTCAAATCTGGGTCCTAGTTCAGTGTCACACAGTCATGTAATAGCTCCCATTTACGCCTCGGCCTGTGTCAGGTCAGTGCCAGGACTTTTCCGTGTTTCATCTGCCGCCTGTGTCCCTTGCCTGTGGTTTTGCAGCACGTGAGGGGCACTGGGGTTGGAGCTCAGCTCTCCACCTCCAATCTGGCTCCTTTCAACTTGGAAACCAGGCTCAGGAACAGGAGCAGCTGTGTTTGTACTCCCAGCTACTGCTGGTCCTGCAGGGTGCTCAGCTGGTTGTCATGTGCTTGCTGAGGTTCAGGTGGGTGCAGGTGCGGCCTTGTACCAGCTGCCCTGAGAGCTGCCACCTGGGCTGCACCCGGGGGCCCAGGACGGGGACAAAGGATTGTCAGGTGGCAACAAGTAGGGAGTCAGTGGCTGCTCACAGTGATTTGGGGAGCTGAGGCAGATTGCGTACCCTCCCTCTGGGACGGACGCCTTTCTCCCCTGGGGATGGAGCTTGTGTGCTTACTCTTGGGAGGAGGCTGCCGAGCCTGGGGACAGGCCCTGTTGGAGCCTTGCTGGTGACTGAAACTCTCCATGTCTTGCATGCCCTACACCTCTCCTCGCTCCCCAGGAAGTAGTGGCCTTGATTGTGGATGGGTGTTTTCATGTTGACTCAGACAGGAGCTCAGTGCCAACTTAGTCATTTCTGTTTTCACTGGACCCACTGCTGGGAATCATGTTGCCATCCACACTGTCACTTGCTTTCTTCTCCTTGGAGGGAGCCACACATAACTGCTCCCCACAGAGACAGGAAGTCTCCTGGTATTGGGCCAGGAATCCCAGAGCCCAACTACCTGAGGAACCCTCCCTCCCATCCTTGGCCAGGGTTGTAGGCAGTATGTGGCACCATGGCATGTGCAGGATTTTGGGGCCATGGCTGCTATGTAGTAGTGTGCCCTGGGCTTGGTGCTTATGTGGCCTTCTCATTTCATCCTCTTAATAAGAATGCCTGGTTTACAGCTGAGGCTCAGGGAGGTCTAGTAACGTGGTCACAGTCTGTTCTCACTGCTGTAACAAAATTGCACAGACCAGGTGGCTTCCAAACAATAGAACTTTATTGCTCATGTTATGGAGGCTGGAAGTTCAAAATCAAGGCAGCTGTAAGTTTGGTGTTTGGTGTCTGGTAAGGGCCAGTGCGTGGTTCGTAGATAACACATTCTTTCTGTGCCCTCACGTGGTAGAGGGACAAACAGGCTCTCTGGGGCTTCTTTTAGAAGGGCACTAATCCCATTCTTGACGGCTTTGCCTCCACAATGAAATCACCTCCCCAAACCACCCTGTTCCTTATACCATCACCTCAAGAGTGAGGATTTCAGTGTGAGAATTTGGGGGTGGGAGAACAGAGACATTCAGGGCACAACACAGAGTAAACTGAGGGTCAGGACTTCTCAGACCCAGGTCTGTCTGCCACAGATCCTTGGACCATCCTTAACTGACTTCTTCCGGATTCATGATATGCCTGTTACACGTGGCCTGGTCTCTGGAACAGTCAGGGCAGCTGGGGACTCTGATGTACGGCCAAGCTGAGGACCCCTGTGTGTAAGGAGAAGTACAAAGGCTGGCATGTCAGTGTCAGCTGGTAGTGCTGGATATTGCCTAGGCAGAGGCCAGCTCTGCACCCTGGGCCCTGGCCATTGAGCCAAGCACATGTGGGGCTCACTGCTGCCAGACCCAACCCCTCTTCACCTCAGGCTAGAGAGACACTAGGGAAATCTGGCTGTGTAGACAGGCGAGGAAATGGGAGACAGTGGTGACCTCATCTGTCCACAGTGGCCGCACTACCCTGGAAACCTTAGATGGGGACACCAAGAACCGGGCAGGGGCCTGACTCCCTGACACACGTTTACTTCCCTTTATGACCTTGCTGTTTATTTCTTGTCTATAACTACCCAGTGTCCCCTGCCAGCTTAGCAAGCCCCAAATGTATCACAGGATGCTGGGACCTAACAGACCCAGGGAAGTGGCTCAGCCCATTCTTCCCAGGTGGGCGGGGTATGTGTTGTTCTGTTTCAGGCAACACTTGACGGTGGTGGTGGTGGTGGTGGTGGTGGTGGTGATGGGGCAACAAGAGTACTGTGGAATCTGGTTCTGGACATTGTGACAGTGAGGAACAGAAGGATGAGGGACTTTGGCCAAGGGCACCAAGCTGACAGAGCTATTTGAGCCGTTTTTTGTCCGGCCCTGAACTCTTCAGTACCACTCATTTTTCTGCTCCTGATACCACTTGGAAGAGAATGGAAGGGAATAAGCCCATTGTCCGTATGAGAACACAGTCTGGAGAGGGACATGAGTGGCTCACCCAGGAGGCAAAGGAACCCAGCAGGCCAATGGGTAGGGCTGCAAAGCAGGACAGAGCAGGGATATTCACAGTCCTCTAGGTGGAGCCGGGCCCAGCCCAGGGATGTTCGAGTCCCAGCTCTGTGGCCACCCCACAGTGGGACTGCTGTGCACTCGGGTGCCTGTGGGTTGCACCTTATCCCCTCTCAGAAAACTCCCTGAGGCTGTCTCCATCCTAAGCCATGTCATTTATCTGCTCACAAGGTGCACCAGGGTGAACAGTCACAGAGTTAACATGGTCAGTAATAGTGTTACTAACAATGCCTGGTTCAGCACTTTTCCCTCAGCCTCTGGGAATTGAATGAGGGTTTGGGAATAGACATGTCAGAGCCAGCCAGCCAGACACCCAGGAAGCAGTGGAACTCACCACTTTCTGGGGCAGTTCTGACTCCAGGAGGTCTCCAGGGGAAACGAACACTCCCGAGTTTAGGGAGAGAATGTGGCCTTGGTACACCTGCTACTCTTGTGGCCAGTTGGGGCTTAGCTCCTTGAGCCTTTTCACCTTGTATTTGGGGCCACATCTGAGGAGGAAATGTACTACTGGTCGGCATCTGCCTGTCACCTCTGCAGCCCCCACACTTTAGCCTCTGCGGCAGAGTCTCCTTAGGAAGTTGGAGCTCAGCCTCAAGACAATTCAGGCCTGTCCAAAGTCACCCTCAAAATTCAAAACTGAAACGTTGTTCACTGAAGGGCTGGGACAGGCCCAGATGGGACGCAAGAGAGGCAAGGCAGCCCAGGCTCAGGCTTCCCTGATCACAAGCTCACCTGTGGCACCTGTTCAAATGAGGATTCCGAGCCTTAACCCCGCTGAACTTCTCAGAAAGGGATGGACAGATGGATGGGTAGACAGACAATCTGGGGTTTTGATGAGTGTCCCAGGTGTGTCTTGGGAAATGTTGAATTCATCCTGGACTTACTCTGATTTGCCCACAGCTACCAGCAAAAGGCCACTTGAAATCCAAGCTCTATTTATAGCTCATTAGCCTGCTTAAAATACAGACTATTACCCAGAATAAAGATTACTAATTGCCATAGATTGTGACTTACATACTTAGATGAACAGCTGTACTTCATATGTGTAAGGCCACCTGCCCTTGATCGATTGGTAAGTTAACTGTCTTGAGCACGCCAGGGCACGCGGGGGTTCACCGTTGCTCCTCTGGACCTGGTGAAGCACAATCCCGAGGGAGCACCCTGGGACGGGGAAGGGGTCACCAAGCTGGCAGTGAGTGTCCCCAGTAAGCCTAAGAAACGTGGCCTTTGGACACAGCAGGGTGACATCAGTTGTTGCTTATTATCTGCTGTTTTGTAATTCCCTCGTGTTTCCGGACACATCTGCCTTTTCCTTCACTTGGGGGCTGTGTTGCCCAGGGCTGGTGTTACGGGATGAATTGTGTCCCCCTAAATCCACATGTCGAAGCCCTAACACGTGCATTTGGAAGTAGGGCCTTTAAGGAGGCAGTTAAGGCTAAATGGGGTCATAGGATGGAGCCCTGATCCAGTAACACTGGTGTCCCTCTAAGAAGAGGAAGAGATACCCGGGAGGTTCGTGCCGAGATGAAAGGCCCTGTGAGGACACACTGAGAAGGCTCCATCTGCAGGCTAGTGCAAGGGGCCTCAGGAGAGGTCAAACCTGACACCTTGACCTTGGATTTCCAATCTCTAAACCTGTGAGAAACACAGTGCTGTTGTGGAAGCCCCCTGCTCTGTGGTGCTCGGTGGTGGCAACCCGAGTGACTGAAAGAACTGGGGAGCCCCGAGTGAGCTTGTGCACATGACAAGCCACAGATGCTGGCTTTGTCCTCAAACTGAGCCAGATACTTAGCCCCAGGGCGTGTGTGGTGGTTTTCAAGAGTGAGCCGTGCCTGGGTCTGTGCTGAGGGGTTCAGGATGTAGAGGGCAGGCTGATGTGGATATGTTGTTCTGGGGTCTTGTCCTTCCTTCTCTCGTTGTCCACGGCATACATGGCAGGGGCTGATATATGGGAGGCACCTTGGGTTATTTGTGGAATGAGTGGTCTTCTAGCAGATATGAAAAAAATCCATTGGAAACCTAGCTAGACCGTATTTGCTTCTGAAAATCAAGGCCTACACATGCCAGTGACTTTTCATGTTGAAGGATCCTTTTAGCCCTGTGATGGACCCATGGTGCAGGCTGCTCTGAGAACCACACAAAAGACAGCAGTTTCAATCAGATGCACTTTCGTCCCCCAGGGGATACAGGGCACTATCTGGACACAATTTTGTTTGACACAGCTGGGTGGGAGGTGCCATTAGTATCTTGTGGGTTGAGGCTAAGGATGAAGCGAAGCATGCTGCAGCGAACAGTCCAGCCCCCTGTGACAAAAGACTGAGCATCCTGAAATGTCCATAGGGCCAAAGTTAAATCCTGCAGCAAGATTAGGTCTCCTGGTCCATGATAATGTGATTAGGAAGCGTCAGTTCTAAATTGGAAAGCTATGTTAAGTAAACAAGGAGCTTTTTCTTCTGGGGAAATAATGAGCAGATGGTTAAGCAGAGTTCTGCTGACTGTTGCATGATTCGAGGAAGGTTCCAGTACTGACATTTGAAGGCTGCTGAGGCACGTGTACTGGCTTGAGAGACAGCAGGCTGGCACTGGTGGGCCTGGCTTGGAAATGATGGAATAGGCTGAGGACCCTTCTGCGTCCTATCAAAGCCCACTGGAAAAGCACCCAGTCCCCTCAGTACCTCCGGTCCTCTGCCCTCTGTACCAGGTGTCTAGGGGTAGCCATGGGGCAGGAAGATGAGGTTGCTGCTGGTGGGAGGACAGGGTGCTTAAGGGTACTGGATTCCCCAGGAAAGAGAGAGAGTTGATTTCAGAAGGTAGAAGCATAGACACCTGTTCTTCTGAGGGGAGACGGCATGAGGAGTGTTTGGATGATGATGATGGAGAAGTTATTTGGTGGAAAGAGCTAAGTAAGAGGTTCTGAGGATCATGTGCTCCATATTCACATGCACTTCTAGTAGGGGAGGGGTGGCACCAAGTAGGAGGAGAGGGAGAGGGAGAGATCTGAAACCAGGACTGGCTCATAGGTGTGCTTTTGGAAGATGCTCTCTTCACCCAAGAGCCATCTGTTGAGCCCATAAGAAAAAGCACAACTAGTCAAGTTCCGGAGCTTGAGAGGCTTGATATTTCCTTGGGATGTAATCTCCCACGTCATGAACCAGGATCTTTTCGAAGCTCCAAGAGAAAGGTCTGCTGTGAGCAAAGTTTGGTAGCGCTGCTCTAAACACTCACCACCTGGAGGACTGGAGGACAAGCACAGATGGCTCCAGAGAAATCTGCAGTAAGAGACCAGTTCAGGTGTAATCGAGCACTTCGCCAGACTTTGTTTGTTGGGATCAAAGATAGGGCCACCAGACTGAGCAAATAAAAATGCAGAGCATCCAGTTAAATTTGTATCTCAGGAAATAAGTAACTGGGGTGGGTGATGTACTTATAATACTATGAAAAGATTATTCACTTAACTGAAATCCAGATTGAACTGGGCGTCTTACACTTACCTGGCAGTTTGACCATGGGAGAGGAGCGGTTGAGGGACACAGCACCTGTTGTCCCATCGTGTTGGTGCCAAATTTTTCTGTTCCTTGTTATGCATTCTCCTGGTACTTTGGCCCGTAAAACCACTTAACAACATTTGCCCTATTTTATCAAATGACATCTTTTTTAGTTTTCTGGCAAGTCATTTTCTAGCATCCTTGGCTGCTCAGAACAGCTGGGAACCCAGAAATGCATGAAAAGTGCCACCTGGTGCAGGCAGAGCGCAGAGTAGCCAAGCCAAGGCCAGGGCCGCCTGGATCTTCCAGGAGCAGTGGGGTGGTGAGATCATGAGGGCCATTTGGCCAACATTTCAAGAATGTGCAGCGTGTTGGAAATAGAGAGCAGCCTTCTTGACTGGCACTGGCTGAGGAGGTGGGAAAGCTGGGGAAAAGCCAGATAGAGAGGAGTGAGCTTGGATAAGAGGGAAGGACATGCAAGGTTGAACGAAGAGGTTCCAGGTGGCAAAGGGCAAGGTCAGTCTTGCTGCAGTTGGCCTGCAGGCCTCCACGTAACGGTTCCTCCTGTTTTTCCCAGTGGCTTGAGGAGTCAGGAACAAGCTTGCCCATGGTAGTAGCTAATGTGTGTTGAAGGCTGGCTCTGCTTTGCTTGCCTCACTTCTTTGTTTTCCTGTTTTCTTTTCCACCTCAGCAGCCACACTTGGCTTTTTCTGTAACACACCAGGGTGTTCCTGCCCTGAGGCCTTTGTGTTTGCTCTTCCTTTTGCCTGGGATATTTCACCCTCCGAAAAATCCTCCTGGTTCTTTTTGCTTCATTTCTCATCTTTGTTCAAATGGCCATTGACTGCCTATCTTATTTAAAATTGCAGGCTGGGGATTTAGCTCAGTGGTTCTGTTGCCTGCCTCGAAAGTGCAAGGTCCCGAGTTCAGTCCCTGGTACCAAAAAAAAAATTGCAACTCTCCTGTCCTGGCTTTGTTTTTCCTGTCAGCACACCTCTCCATTGGGCAATTTGTATGTTTTATTGTTCAGTTGTTTATTCACTGTCTTCTCCCTGAAGACTGTGACTTCTGGAGGGCAAAGATTCTGTTTACTTTGTTCATTTCATTGTGGAGTCCCCAGCATGACCCCTGAACCCAATCAGGCACTTGGTGAATGTGTTTTTAACAAACTCTCTGAGCTCTTCCTTCATCAACCCTCTTGACTCCCACTTACAGATAAGGGAGCGGAGATAAACCTGTCCAGGGGCTGGAGCTAATACGAGAAAGGACTGGGATCTGTCCCTAAGCTGAGTCCCCATTGTTGGGCCAGGTAGCCTGGAGACTGGAATTTGTCAACCTTTGCTCTGGATGACAAATGGTCCCACGTGACCTGTGTCCTCAAGTGACAGCTTTGTCTCCATTTCCTCAGGATGCACTTCTGAGACGGTCACCGTCCCCGATGGCCCACGCAGCAGCTCAGTGGAAGGAAGTCCTTTCCGACCCCCACACTCCTCCTCTGCCGTCTTCGATGAAGACAAGCCTATAGCCAGCAGTGGGACGTACAACTTGGACTTTGATAACATTGAGCTGGTGGGTAACTTTCAGAGCTTGGAGCCTCGCTCCTCAGACTGTAGGAGCCAGGACTGCAAGGTGAGCACGCGCAGGAAGTCTACGGAGTCTGTGGCCCCCTCCAAGTCCACGCTGTCCCGCTCGCTCAGTCTTCAAGCCAGTGACTTTGATGGGGCTTCCTGCCTGGGGAGCCCCGAGACTGTGGCCCTCGCCCCAGATGCCTGCAGCACAGGATCCAACAGCGCTTCTAGTACTCTCAAGCGAACTAAAAAACCGAGGCCACCTTCTTTAAAAAAGAAACAGACGTCCAAGAAGCCCACAGAAACCCCCGCAGTGAAAGAGACCCAGCAAGAGCCAGCCGAGGAGAGTCCTGACCCCAGTGAGGAACAGCTGACATCTGAGGCAAAGACAGAGCTGGCCACGGCCGAGGGCTCTGGGTGCATCCTCCCGGAGGAGACGCCCCTGGACCCTGCCGCCGGGCCCAAAGCTGCCTCTCCTCCAGACTTGGACTGTGGGGAGGGCGCTTGTCCCCCAGCTTCCGGAGGTGGCAGGGTGCAGAACTCACCTCCCATTGGGAGGAAAACGTTGCCTCTTACCACGGCCCCCGAGGGAGTGGAGGTGACCCCATCGGATAGTGGGGGGCAAGAGGACTCCCCGGCCAAAGGGCTCTCAGTGAGGCTGGAGTTTGACTATTCTGAGGACAAGGGTAGTTGGGACAACCAGCAGGAAAATCCCCCTCCTACCAAAAAGATAGGCAAAAAGCAGGTTGCCAAAATGCCCCTGAGGAGGCCAAAGATGAAAAAGACACCTGAGAAACTTGACAACACTCCTGCCTCACCTACCAGGTCCCCCACTGAACCCAATGACATCCCTGTTGCTAAAGGTACCTACACCTTTGATATTGACAAGTGGGATGACCCCAATTTTAACCCTTTTTCTTCCACCTCAAAAATGCAGGAATCTCCCACATTGCCCCAGCAGTCGTATAACTTTGACCCAGACACCTGTGATGAGTCCCTTGACCCCTTTAAGACATCCTCTAAGACCCCCAGCTCACCTTCCAAGTCCCCAGCCTCGTTTGAGATTCCAGCCAGTATTGAAGCCAATGGAGTGGATGGGGACGGGCTGAACAAGCCTGCCAAGAAGAAGAAGACACCCCTAAAGACGTAAGTGCAGGGCTGGAGGCGGGGTGGGGTGGGGGGGTGGAGGTGGGGGGTTCATGGTGCTGTTACTCCTTGGTCTCGTGTCGGGAGGACCTCCAGCTGGCCCAACCTTGCCGTTACTGGAATGACACCATGCTTGCGGCCTGTTCACCAGACAGGCAAGGTACATGTTTTCCTTCCTCTCGCTGCCACACTGCTGGCACTTTGCCATTCACATACCCCTTTGGGGAGGAGAGTCCTTGATCTTTTGCCTTCATAAGTCAGTGGTCACTGGGAGGCTGAGGCGGGAGGATTACAAGTTTGAACCCAGCCTGAGTAACTTAGAAACTTAGTGAGAGTTTGTCTCAGAATAAATAATAAAAAAGGGATTCTTCTGTTTTCATTGAGAAGGCCCTGTGTTCAATCCCTATTCCTGAAAAAACCCCAAAAAGTTAGTAGTCTAAAGCTTTGCTTTTACCCAGAGACTTGACATGCAACTCCAGGAGGATGTGGGAGGCCTTGTAGAAAGGGAATAGTCATGAGAGATTGGCCGACCATGTGTTTGTGACTGGGCCTTTCTCTTGTTTAGCATATACATTGAAGCCAGGAGATACAGCCTGTAAAATATTGTTAAAATTTATAGCATTTGTTTCTGTCCATTCATGAGACTTTAGCCCAGGAATCCAACACATTGTAGTAGGCTCCAGGAGGTCCATGAGAGAGGGATGTGGTTTGGGCTCCTCTTTGAAAAATGGGCTGTTTGTATCCTTCCCTCTCTCTGCTCATCATTTGCAGATGAGTTCATAGGCCCTAAAAGTCAAAACAAAACCAAACAAACAAAACAATGGACCCTAAAGCCAGAAGCAGACCTTATAATCCCCAGGAGCCATTAATAAATGAGTCTGTTGTCCACAATCACTTGCCAAGTACATAGCCCTTAAATACTTGGTTCAGGTCTCCAGCTCTCCAGCATTCATTCCATGATCCAGCTGTAACTTGGACGGCCGAAGGTCTGTTATTAGGACTCTGGACCATGTGTAGTATGGCTGACCACTTGTAGATTTTCTTACTCTCTTGGGAAACATTGACTATAATTTAACAAGGTTGAGGAAACTAGTTTCCCAGGAGCATTGCAACCAAATACGTTACAGTGCTGGGCCCTCTGGGTCTACTTGGCATGAACAAGGCAAGGGTGGCCCATTTACCTCCTGTTCTGGGTGCCCGCAAGCATTAACCTTCTGAGAATAGCCTGGTACTTCCTGAGAAGTGGTTCTAGGGCAGACTTTGGTCTTGGGTTACACTACCACAGTGTGGTGGTGGCTGGGAGACCATTCTGGCCAAAAAATGTGGACTTTTCTTAGATCAGTTCCCCAATAGGGCCTTCCTGGAAATGCCATAGGAGCCTATTGGAAATCAAATTTTAAGATTAACCACAAGTCAGTGTCTACTTGCAAAGCTCTCCTGCCTCTTGTTTTGGAATAAGAGTCAACTTGTAGTTACCACCTCCTTTCCTGAGGTCACCTGCTTATGTTCTATCTCTAGCCACTTTATTTTTGATCATCAGAGTTAATAAGGGTCAGGGAAGCTGACCCCACATCTCATGATCTTACCCCTAGTGTAGATGGGCTGTTACCTTGAAAACTCCTACCCTGGGGGACAAAGGTGTTAGGGTACCAACACCATTTGCATGGTCAGAACCTGGAAAGGAGCCTGCTGTCCAAAGGTCACTTTCCAAAAGGCAGGGATATTGATACCTTCCAGCAAAATCTGCAGTGGGTGACAGTGGCATATTGACCTAGGAACCAGTTGTCTGCAGATCTATCTTTTTTGTCAGTTCCTCTGTCTGTCTCTCTTTTCTTTGTCTTCTTGTCTTAGGATGGTTGAAGATGTGATGTCTGTGTGTTCTCTGTTGTAAGTACATTTAATGCAATCTGCCTCTTATGCCAAATGTGCTTTTCCCATGCCTTTTGTTTTGGCTTGCAAATCCTTTTTTCTTCATCATGGCTGCTACGATGTACTTCTGTGTTGGGCTTGGGAATGATGGGGCGCAGGGCTCCGCAGTAGCAAAGGTTATTTCTCTGTTTCATAGTGATGATAATGCGTGAGAATGCTTGGCTCTGAAAACATCATTTTATCCAACATCTGCCTGCTTGTCAGGAATGGGACTATTTTTCCTCTTACATATTGGATATCTTCATCTGAAACCCATACATTTTTTTTTTTAACCCTTCATTCCATTCTTTCATTTTGAAGTGGGCTGGCAGGCAATTGCTTTCAAGAGCACCATGGCTTCACAGAAACCATTCGGTCAGAGCTCGGGCAGAGACTGCCATTGCTAACATATGCAGCCCAGCCATTTGGGCCATTCCAAATTGAGGCTTGCAAGAGGCCCTTGAAATAGAGTTGGCTCAGAGTGGAGCTTGAGGCTGAGAGCCATCACCATGCTGCCCGGGCCATGTCTTTGGTCACTTCAATCCAGGCTGGGTGTTGGCATGCCTTGTCTGTCATCTGCAGGTCTCCCTGCCAGGCATCAGTGCAGCTGACCACCTATGTGCCTCTGCCACTCTGCCTCCCCTGGCCAGGAGGGATCTTGTGGGCAGTGCTCAGGGCTCCAAAGCCAAATGGCTTCTCCCTGTCCTTAAAAGGGAAGCTGGCCTGGACAAGGTGTCTGGCGCTCCCAGGGTATGGCGGAGTTTCTCAGACTCTTCTGCCCAAAAGATTTCTTTAGTATTTTCAATCCACTTTGCAGCTATAAAATACACAGCTGTATATTTATACGCATGAATAAATATAACCTTGAAGCTGTGGTTTCACTTTTCTTACAATAAATGTCATAAATAACTATTTTATATATAGTAATGTTTTTCATGGTTAAATGCCATTGTTGGAGCGTTTTATTTGAGAAAACACAAAGGACAGAGGGTGGGTGCCCATTTGCTCTGCCCATTGAATGGGGAAAGCATGGTAGTGTGCTGGGATCTAAGGTGAGGGATCTCTGTCCTCAAAGTCCTTGCTTTGCAGGGAGTGGGACCGTATGAGGTACGGGCTGGAGGCCAGCAGGCAGGGGCCAGTCTGCAGTGGGGAGAGAGCCTGCATTCTGACTGTGGAAATGACCTCTGACTGCCTGTTGGACCCAAGAGTGCCATTTCTGCTAAAAGTCACCCCCTTCTCCTGAGGTCTGCCTCCTTGACCCTTCACAGATCTTATCTGGTGTCCTTCCTCTCCTCATTGTGTACATGAAGGAGAAAGAAAGAAAAGAATCATTAATCTTGTCTATTAGCCATGGTTAGGAAAAGACACGGCTGGCCCTGTCTTTGGTGGGAGTCCTAACTAAAATCCTTCAGCGCTCAGAAATCCATTAAGCTCAAAGTTGGTGTGAATAGGAAGGATTCTCCAAATTTCCCCTGAGGACAGAACTTTCTTTTTATGCATAGAGTCCTTCAGCTGTTCATTAAAGGCTATATCGCCTGCCCATGTGAAAATTGGATCCTGTTAATTAGTGTCATGAGCTTAGACCCCCTCACCCAATCATAGTTGGGGCAGACATTCCTGGAAGAATCCACATATGTTGATCTGCTCACCACAAGTTTGCTTTATAAAATAAGAACATTTAGTTAAATTTAGCTTCATTTTTTTTTGAGTCAGCACTCCAAATGGCATCTCTGTAAAGATCCCCAGCTTGATGGATCTTTCCCTTGGTGGGTGTGTGTGTGTGTGTGTGTGTGTGATGATACCTATTAAAGTCAGAATGAATTGGCGTGGACGTCTTTGATTGGCGTGGGTAGACAGGAGGGTGGCCTGGGCAGGTAGCTTGGCAGAGGCGGTGGCTTCCACCAGCTCTATATTGCTTGGGATGTTCTGTAGCTCTGCTTGTTGTGTTAACATTTTCCATTTTGTTTCCAGTGACACATTTAGGGTGAAAAAGTCACCAAAACGGTCTCCTCTCTCTGATCCACCTTCTCAGGTACAGTGTTCCTTTGATCTTTATGATTTTACTGCTCACCCAGAGAATATTACCTAGGCAGCAGAGCTTTCCTTTCTGCTTTTCTTGGGCATGTTTCCAACGCCCAATTGCCCTTACATGGGGAGGTCCCTTAGTTTTGTCAAGATTGTTTTGATCAAAAAAAAACCAAAAGATTGTTTTGATCCCTTCACTTTGGCAGAGATTAGGGTGTGTCCTGAGAGTGGGAAGAAGTTCAGGGAAAATGATAGTTGGATCCTGCAGGAGGATCTGTTCTGGTCCATTCTATCCACTTGCTGAGAACTTTTGTAGCAGTTGAGAAAATCTTTTGGGATCAATGAATACAGAGTAAGGAAATGTGAAAACCGAATGTGTGTCAGAATCACTAGATTATGGCCCTAAAATCCGGGTGGGAAAGTGAGAGAACCCTACCCCACAAAGAAGTGGCTGCTTGGGTTGTTTATTTATATGAGTCCTTGTTTCTCTTAATTGTTCATCACCAAATACATGGCATTTCTTCTGCCCTCTTTATAGACTGAGGAAGGTTATCATCAAACAGATTTGTCATACCATTCCTGGGTCATAAAACAAGTAAACTTCTTCCATCTCTCTAAATCAAGTCAGCCAAGTCTCAGCCCCGATAATTGGCCCAGGCCAGGGATCAGAAGGCCCTAGCCCTAGACCTCTGAACAGGGGGTCCAGTAACAGCTCTGCTTTCTCAGTCCCGAGTTCTACCCTGTCCTGCTCAGCTCTCCTATGGGGTGGTACTATGACTCCCTTTCTCTCAGACTTCCAGGGACTGGCATGAAGAGTGTCGGGATATTGATGATGCTGACCCCCAAGCCTGTGTATGAGCATCACACAGTAGTTGTAGGAGTGAAGTTAGCAGAAAGGTCTAAGATACAAAATCCTGATTTAAAAAAAAGAACAACAACAACAAACAAAAAACAACATGATTGCTCCTTGAAACAAACCATCGGAAAGGAGAGTCATAGAGGAAAGAATGTGTTTTCGAATGTGTTTTCCTAAGGGTCATCTGGAACAAAGTCCAAATAGAACAGGTAGAGGATTTTGATGGGGACCTCTCCTGGTGAACAGGCTTCAGACTCCTGGATGAGTGTGAGTTCTGACCAGCACACTTGAGTGAAAGAGGAGACTGCCTCTCTTCTCCTTGCAGGACCCCACTCCAGCTGCAACACCAGAAACACCACCAGTCATCTCTGCAGTGGTCCACGCTACAGATGAGGAAAAGCTGGCGGTCACCAGTCAGAAGTGGACATGCATGACCGTGGATTTGGAGGCTGACAAACAGGACTTCCCACAGCCCTCAGACCTGTCCACCTTTGTAAACGAGACCAAATTCAGTTCACCCACGGAGGGTAAGCAACTTGGTGTGGCCAGCTAGATGCCCACCGTGCCTTGGAGAATACTGCCCCTAGGGAGCAAAAGGCCGGGAAAGACACTTCTCAGCCAGGTAACTGTTACTATTACCGTGTGACTGTCTGCACACCTCCCGATGCACTTGAAGTAAGGCTGTGCTTTAAAACAGCCCAAGACTTGAAGCTAGCTGTCCCGTGACCCCACAGTGCCTGCTAAGAAGTAGCCCAGTACACTCTAATCCAGGTTCTGAGTGCTCACTTCTGTTTGCTTATTCTTGGCTGTATGACTTAATGTCCCTTCTATGATTTGGGGGTGGGGGGAGGCTTAAATGAAGCGCTGTTCACATCAAATGCTCAGTGTAGTTCAGTGCACCTGGGGGTCCCTTGGTACCATCATTTTTATAGCCCCTATGGGATGGTGAGACAACACGGTATACCTTTTTTTTGGTACCCGGGATAGAACTTGGGACCTTGCGCTTGCCAAGCAGGCAGTGGAACCACTGAGCTAAATCCCCAGCCCATCATGGTATACCTTTCAATCAAGTCACAAACGAGAGGTTCACCCCAGGCTTACTGAGCTACATACTCCTTTTAATGTTTTTTTTTTAAAGACAGGGTCTCAGTCTCTTAAGTTGCCCAGGTTGTGCTTGACCTTGGAGTCCTCTCCCTCAGCCTCCCAGTGCTGGGATTGCAGGCATGTGCCATCATGCTCGGCCACATCATTTTCAACTGAAATTCAGTGTTTACCCTGGAAGTTCTTCCATGGTCAGGCCTCTTACTGGTTTGCTTGGTGCCCACAAGTGCATTTGTGGTGAGATCTAGTTCATAATAGAAATCAGTGTTTCAGGTTTTGGGGTGTTTATTTTCTCTCCGTACAAAGCTGCCTTCCTTTATGTGACCATGAAAAGATGATTCAAATATATACACTTGGACTTCTTGGCATTTTGTTTTCTACAAAATTGAGCCGTTCAGTTAGCTGTCAGGTTGGTCCCCTGGCTTGGAGTTTCGGAGGCCTCACAGTTACCATTTCACTCTAGCCCAGTGATGGCGAAACTTACAGAGCTTTCAGTGATTACAAACAGCCAGCTGCGGCATATGTGTCATAGGTTCTTCACCACTACTCTAGCCTGACACCACAGGCCCTGGGTCCCAGGCTCAGCCTCTCTTTGATCCTTATTTTTCTCTGTACTCAAACCTGAGCCATAAGCCTCACCTGAATAAATGACTTTTTCCCTGGGACACCCCTTGCTAGGCTGTGGTCACTGCCTGCCCTGCACCCACCTACCTGTTTCCCCCTCCTGCCTGCCCCAGCCTTTTCCTAGACATACACTCCCTGATCTGCTTTCCTCTGCTACTTATCTGGGCCAGTCTGGGGCACTTACAACCGAATGGTGAAGATACGTGTTTTATTTCCCAACGAGACTGTGCTTCCTGCAGGCAGGAACTCTGGTGCCTGTCTGTTTTTCCCGCAGCACCCTGAACATCAGGGGCTAAAGATAGGTTTGAGATAAAGGAAATACAAGGTCAACTCAGTTGATCTGATCTTTGCAACATGTATCACCTTAATGAGTTGGGAGGGGACCACAGGGGAGATGCTTTATGTCCCAGAAGCACCAGATGACGTGGCACAAACATTAACCTTGCCATTTTGACAGTGCCTGTGGTTTTCAGCTGGCTCACATCCCTTGAACTATATAAGAAACTTCTAAAAGCAAAAATTATTTCCAAACCCATCTAGGCTTGGCACTGTGGATAAGAGTAAAATAACATATGATTTGGGAGTGAGTCCATGGTTTGGTTTTATTAGAAATCAAATACATGAGCTTCTTTCCTTCGAAATAAAAACTTCAATACTTTTTAAGCTAGTAAGTGCCTCATTCAGTGGTGCCATCTATTTGTTCATCTTTGCCTTTGTCCCAAAACAAATGTCTCACAAGCTCAGTGTTCAACAGACACATAAGTGTGTAAGTTTGAAACACAGCTCTCTTAAACCCGCCTCATAGAAGATAATGTTGAAGGTTAGGGATTCACAACTATAATTTTAGCTGTTATGTGATTAGAAACCCATCATTACACTTGTTGTTTCAGGAAGTGTGGATCTGTGTCCTCCACCTCTGTAAGGTAACCCGGGGTTGTAGACACTGGCTGCAGAGCCCTTTGTCCGATCAGCCCCCTGTTACTTTAATAAGGTTAAATTCAGCAGTGCCAGTCACGCACATAGGGGTGCAGATGTGGTGCCTGAATGAATCAGAACAGGCCTGCAGCTGCAATCTGAGACTTTCTTACACAGAAGTCACCAGCCACAGGGAAATGAAATGTTGAGCTAGAAATAATATTACTATTTGAACACATCTTCTCTGTAATACTAATTCTGTAGGTGAGAAGAGGAAAGCAGTAACTGTTCCTGGCTCAGCATGTCCCTTGAGCTGGGCTGAGTCTCTCATACACTTGATTTCCTTTCCTCCTCCCAGAACTGTGATGATTTTCTACAATTCCTTGCTTTAAGAAGGAAGGGACACAGGCTTGGTGCTGTTAAGTGACTTGCCCAGTGTCGTGGGGCTGATCCATGGAGATCTGGGTCTGTTTGACCTAATAGCTGTGCACTTTCCTGCTCTCCTGTTTATGTGAGCACCAGCCAGGCTTTCTGCCTTCATCTGCAGGATGATGCTTTCTCTCCTGGTTGATCAAGAGCAGTGTTGAAGAGCTTCACGCTGTCTTTAATATTTCAAAAACCCCAATGAAAATAGTTTAGAAAGATGCCCAGGTGATTACAGTAGCATGCTTGAGCTCTAATACATCAACGCTCTGATAATCTCCACCAATTGAAAACTCAGATTGATGGTTAGAAATGTGCAGCCTTGTTTAATCAGTGCCCTTCCCATGCAGTCTTTTCAGACATGGTCCTGTGGTCCTGTGGGAGGAAAGGGGCTGTCTAGCCTCTGAGAATTCACTGGCCTCTGGTCCCGGAGGCCCTCACAGAGCAGTTGCTTTTAGATTTACAAGTCTGGCGGCTAACCCACTTTCCCTTTCCCCCTTTACACCGCCCTGTCAGCTCCTTCTCCCCACATTCCAGCAGAGTGGAGAGTGTCCTTGGGAGCCTAATCCATTGTTAATGGTTGGGGCCATCACTGCCACATGCATCATCAACCATTGAGAAGGGACAGTGAGGCGGTTACTGCTTCTGTCCTTTTCAGAGGGCTCTTTTCTTTCCCCCTTATGATAGCACTTATGCACTGGATCCTTGACTTACGAACTCTTCATTCCCGAGGGCTGGCTGTAACTCTAGTTGGTCAACTGAAGGCTCAGGCTCCTCTACACAGCCTTCAAAGTCTGTCTCCTGTACACAGGCAGATGTCAGTGTCCTCAGAGAGACATTGGCCCAGGATTTCTCAGTTAACCTGACACAGGAAAGGATGTTGCAGTGTCTCTTCCAGAACTGTTTAAGGGTTTAATCTGTATCTGAGACCATTTGAAAGTACAAATGGCCGGCATTCTGGTCATAACTCAAGACTTTGGTCAGAAGTTAAAATTAAAATTCTGGTTATAACTCAAGTTGTTAGTATGTCGGGCTGGTTTTAACTTAAGAGCCCACTGTATTAAAAGTTCCAGAAATATTATCAGTGAGCAAAATGTAAAGGATCACAGTCCTTTGCATTTATATAACCCATTGTATGGACTTGATTTTATACTATTTCGTCTTATCCAAAAATAAGGCAGTTTGAGCTCCCTTTTACAGATGAGTCAGTTGTCAGAGTAGTCAAGTGAGTTGGTTTCCCTGATCCTGGAAATGAAGATCTTCTGTCTTCTGATTGTGGCTCTTTCAGTCCCCCAGCAAAGCTCCAGCAATTAGAGCCAGGCAAACAGCAGTCAGGCTGTCTCACTGTGCAGTGCCCTAATAGAAAGTAATTACCAGAAACAGCCCACAGATATGAGAGGCCCCATTAAAAATCACTTTGGACCTCTTCACCTTGAGGCAGCCACAAGCTTTAGCAAGTGATCTTCCCCTGAAGTTGTAAAGATAATGTCCCTCTTGATGCCATTGGTATAATCCTCCCTGGTCTGCCCCTTGCATAGGGCCTGTGTGAAAAGGATGCTGAAATTGAACATGCTTCACCCCATGCCTACCCTGGGAGACTTAGTATTCAAAGCAGACAAGTGAGATTTCATAAAGCCAATTTCAATAAGATGTTTCCTTAAGATATCAGAGTCCACCCTGATGACAGGCAGAGGCATTTATTTTCCTTCCATCCTATCCAGGCTGTTGTGTAAATTATAAAGAAGGATATGCGTTTGGTTAGAAGTGGCAGGGCATCTACTGAAGGAGCGTCTCTGGGTGCCTGTCACTCAGGAGGGTAAGGTTCCCAGGCACAGGGTGGGTCTCCTAAAGCCAGGCCTGTTACAGATCAGTATTACCTGTTGAGTAGAGAACCCCTTGAAGGGAAGAACGGGGAACACTGGGCAAGGGGAAGAGAAACCCCCTTGGCAGTTTAGAGAGAAGGCAGGTGAATGAGCTCAGTGACCTGAAACTCACCCAGATCTGGCTGCCGGGGGGCGGGGTGAGCCAGTCGCTCAGGTGGGGCGCTTTACTATGGCGAGCTGGCAGTGAGAGCCAGGGCCACGGGTCCCTGAAGAGTCTCTTGGTGACCCTTGCTTGTTGGGTGCATCCTGTTGCTCTGTGACATTTTAGGGGGAGGTCCTGAGAGAGTTCTTTGAAATAATTTAGGATTATATAGAGCTTTGGCAATACTAATGATAGCTTGGAAGAAGCAGCTTGTTCGCTCTTATCTTTTCCACTTTGACAGTCTCTAACAGGACAATAAAGTGGTACACTGGGGCCTCATACACAAAATGATAGAGCCAGCAGAGGCCCTAGAGCCCACCTTGCCTGTCACTCCTCCCCGCTCCCCCACCTATTCTCATCTTAAGGTGAGGAGGTCACCAAGTCTTTATAAGCCACTGCTTTTCTGGGTACTGAGTTGGCGCAGGCTTGCATGACAGTTGGAGATGTGCTTTCCAGACTGCATCTCAGTAGCGTGTGGTTTGTGCTCCAGTCTCTGCACAGCTCCAGGTGCAAACATCTGGGAAGGAGGGAGCCCTTCTGGCCATTCATCCACAAAGCCAGCTTCAGCTTTCTCCTCTTAATTAGATTTTAATAGTCTTTTCATTTGAAAATTGATTTGGGCTGGCCCTTTAGACACTGGTAGGATGTTGGGAAATGTCCAGAGACTGCAAACAAAGCCTGTCTTACAGGCAACACTGGAGGAATAGTATTTGTCCTTTTCTTGCTTTGCAGTGGGGCTGGAATGGAATTTGCCAGGAGGGACAAGTACACATCCAGTTCCAAATGTCATGGGGAGTATCCCTCCACATGCTGCTCACAAGACTTACAGAAAACCAGCACCCAAAGTGCATACACTCTCTGGTCTGAAAATGGTGCCCAGTGCTGAGATTTGCCCATAGCCCATGCTGTTTCACTTCCTTGGGACTCCTCAGATGCCCTAAAGGCAGAGTCCATGCCAGCAAGTAATTGACCGAATAGCTGAAAAGAGCTGAGTGGCTGCATCCCAAGTCCCTGGTCAATGGCCATTCCTCACATCTTTTCCATTTTTTGTCTCTGGCACTGATCTCACTTTGTGTTTCTTTGCAGAGTTGGATTACAGAAACTCGTATGAAATTGAATATATGGAAAAAATTGGCTCCTCCTTACCTGTAAGTTCTTCCTGCTCTGCCCTTTGCCGACAGGCAGGTGGGAAAGTGTACCTGTACACAGACTGAAATCAGCTTCCTGAGTGTAGTGCGTGGGTTTTGTCATTGTGTCTCAGTGTGTCCCTGAGTGTCTGCTTCCCCTAAGGTCACAGCCTAGGGACCATATATATAATACGAAGAGGGAGACATTTTACCCCTGAAGTGGAACATTCATGTATTTTGATATTGTTGACTTAATGGGGCCAGAACTACCAGGGGCCACTTCTTACGCACCACACCGGCTGACCGGTGCATCAGCAGGCCTCTCGAGTGGATTTCATGAAGAGTTTACCCTGCTTAGGCACCACACAGCCATCCAGAGAGCTTGTGATGGTGCAGAGCAACATGCCTGCTGGTGGCTGCAGTGGGAGCTTCTGTGGTCATCCCAAAGTGCAGAGGTCTTCCCAAGGTCTTCTCATCACTAAGAAATGCTAATCCTTATTTTGCGGCTTAGTGCGTATGGCCATAGGGGGTTTGGTCCTGGTCCCCCACTCTGGCCACTAATCCGTTCACTCCCCCACTTGGCTCCACACTGTACAGCCCTGTGCACCAGTCTGGCTGTGTTCCTCTGCTGGCTCTGAAGGTGCCGGGACCCATAGGGTCCTCAGCCTCACTGCACACCACACGCTGCTCATGCCCACTGAGAGGAACCCTTGTCCTTCAGGCTTAGCCCATTGGTCTGTTCCTCTTCCCAGTGCTCATCCCTGGGTCACTAAGCTGGTCTCCCCCACTTGCCTGTGGGCAACCCCAGGCCAGGAGCCTGCCTTAGCCCTCCATTTATCCTCAGTGACCAGCACAGTGTCTGACCCAGAGTGTGGCTGGTAAACACTGGCGCCTGGGCAGGGTCAGCACAGCAGCACATCCAGTTCTTTCTCCCCTCACACACATTGCCACCAGTGCCCAGTTGCACATTCCCCACCGTGTACTTGCCTCCCTCCCTCTCTACCCGTCTCCTAGCCAGGCCCTGCTTTCTCCTCTCTTCCCGATCACTGGAGAGAGACGAAAGCTGTTCCCTGATGAGTTGTTTGATCCCTACTGGGGAGTGCTCTGCTTTTCATCTCGGGGGGCTGCTCAGGCCAACTGTGCCAAGCTGACGTGTCCCTTTGGTCCCTGCAGCAGGATGATGACGCCCCGAAGAAACAGGCCTTGTACCTTACGTTTGACACGTCTCAGGAGAGCCCCATCAAGTCTTCCCCAGTCCGGATGTCAGACTCCCCGACGCCGTGTTCAGGGTATGGCTTCCATGAGGAGAGAGTTTCTGGTCAGGCCAGAGGCCCCAAGGCCCCTGAGCACTTTGCCACTGTTATCCTGACTCCATTCCCTTTCAAGTATTCAGACAGCCCAGTTTCAGTCTCTGTCCACCTGCACATAGATGCCTTGGTTTTGTCATTGGGCTCTTTGTACTAAGGTGAAATCCTTTAACAGCTGACTTGACCCCCAGTGCAGCCCCAATATACACACTTCTTTCTGTCGTTTGTCCATTGGAGGGTGGCATAGCACACCATTCAGAATCTGGGTGGTCACTTCCATTCCTTATTGGCTAATCTGAGTTACTTGACCCTCCTCCCATGCCTCAGTTTCCCCAGTTGTCAAGTGAGCGTAATGGACTGACCTCAGAGGTAATTAAGATAATCGGGGGCTGTTAGTCTCCAGAGCTTCCCCTGGCTGTGCAGTGGGCACAAGGTACCTGGCATCCAGAGTGCTGATGTGTGGGAAACACTTGTCAGAGTTCCCAGCACATGTACAGTGCTCGATAAACATATATTACTAATACGGATGGCTGCGTCTGCATTTGTCAGAGTTCATGGTGTGAGCAGTGCAGTGTTTGATTGCTCTGAGGTTTGCACTGTCTGCCTGCTCCTTCTATTATGAAGACTGAAAGTTCTTGGTTTGACTTCTCAAACTTACTGAAGCTGACCAGGGGCTGAGATGATAATGTTATTACAACAATAGTTAATGTCGCCACATGATGGGGACGGTGTTGAGTATTGTACATAATACAGCATTTTATTTAATCTTCACAAAGGTACATTGCCTTCATCTTACAGTCTGAAGTATGGCACCAGTTACTTTCCCCAGAGTGCACAGCTAGCATCTGGCTATCAGCTTAACACCAGATCTTGTGCCCCTTAGCCAATGGCATCTGTGTTCTGCCCCTCCTTTGTCAGTTAGTCCTAGGCTGGGGCTGGGCCACACCTTCCCTCTAACTTCCCAGCCGAGAGGCTGCGTGGCCATGGAAGACCTGGCCCATGTCTGCCCGAGGACACAGCCCTGGAAGTCCAGGAACCCTTGGCCTGTTGCATCGGTTATAGCTTTCTGGTTGAGTCCAATGAGAAGACACTAAAGATGCCCTTTGTTTGCTCAGGTCAAGCTTTGAGGAGACTGAAGCCCTTGTGAATGCTGCAGCAAAAGTCCAGCATCCTGTCACACGAGGAGCGGCCACCAGCCAAGAGCCACACTTGCAAGTGCCAGAGAAATCCTCCCAGAAAGACCTGGAGGCCATGGCCTTGGGGACCCCTTCAGAGGCGATCGAAATTGTAAGTGGAGCTGGAGGAGATGGAAATCACTGTGGATGAGACCGGGGCCTGATGGTGCCATCACCACCCCCTGGCCCTTGCTGTGGGGCCCATCCTAGCTCCCAGGACACAGGAACCAGCCTCCGGGCCCCCACATCATCACCATGAGGGAAAGGCCCTCCATTCCCACCAGGATGACTTAGCAGTTCTCACCTAAATGCTTTGAGATTAGTGCCTAGGATTATTTGTTTTCCATTTGTCCCATTTGGGGACTGGACTGTTCCTTTGGAGCCATCATCAGGCTGTGCCTTGCCTCTCTAGTCTGTCTGGCACAGGCTGAGAATAGCAGAGCGGGGGGCACCTCGTTTTAGGAATTCAGGTGGTTTTCCCGGGTCTCTCTCTTGTTTGTAGACCAGGAATTTCACCTCTCCCTTCCCGGCCCTCCCAGCGTCTTGCAGAGCCAACAGACCTGAGTTGAAGGTCTCACACACCCCACACCCTGCATGTTACATGTGTCCATCAGGCATCTGTGGTCTCCTTGGAGTATGTGATGCACATGTGAGGGTTTTCTACACTTACTTTAATCTCTTTTATCTGCATCCGAGGGGATCCCCAAACAGGTTTGAAGGCGTTGATTTAGTGTTACTTTTGTTGTTCTGTATTAGAAGACTTCATTTATCTCATGTAGCAAACATTTATTGAGAACCTACCATGTGCCTGGCAGTTGGATGCTAAATTGGAGAATGGAAACATAATAGTGGCCAATAAGAGGGTCTAGACATGAATCCATCATCTTGCAAATAAATGCCATGAAGGACTCGTGGTTTACTGTCTGTCAGGTTGGCCTCTGATTTTGAAGTCTACCCAAAGACACTTTTTTTGTTTGAAATCGTCTTTCCATTATTTAGAAAATGACCTTTACCAAAATCGTACTTCCTTTGATGTTTGTACCTGGAGCTATTTCCTTGATGTGTTTCATTATGTTTTGAAAAATTATCAGCTAGCTTGTCTCCCACCTATGGCTAGGGAGTGAGGGTGGCCTGCAGGTGGGGAGGGCACCTAGCAGTGTGTTTTGGGGGAGGGGGTTGGCCCTGCCAATCTCAGATGTTCATTGTTGTCCAGGTGGCAGCTGGAGTACTGGCAGCTAATTGATACTGTCTTTAGTCTTAAGGCAGAATGTCCAGCAAATGCATGCATGGTCCTTGTCTGGAATCAATATCACTCTCTGCTCTCCTCTATTTTCTCCTGTGTCCTCTTCTCTGCCTGCCTTCAGACAGCTCCTGAGGGCGCCTTTGCCTCTGCTGATGCCCTTCTCAGCAGGCTGGCCCATCCTGCCTCTCTCTGTGGTGCGCTTGACTATCTGGAACCCGACTTAGCAGAAAAGAACCCCCCAGTATTTGCTCAGAAGCTTCAGGTTTGTAGCCCACGTGTGACCTTTTGGGAATTTGTCAAAACCTCAGTAGAGAATGAACCCCCAATCCCTAAATGGACTGAGGCAGTACTTAATGAGGAACTGCTGAGAATGTTCCAGATGAAATATCTTCCCCTCAAACACTGATTTATGTGGTGTACTTTATCCAGGATGCCAAAATTGTATAAATTGTGCAACTACATATTGAATGAACCATTTCTGTTTCAATTTGGAATTTTGGCTAAACAGTCATTATTCAGATGTATTGATAGCCCCAAAAGCAGTTTCTGTGATTTATTCACGGAACCAAAGGTATTAGGTCATCATGAAGCCAGGCTGTTTATATATACAGGCAATCTCAGATTCCCATTGAGATAACATCTGGACTCAGTCTTGCATTGGGAAGCAAAATTATTACCTACTCTGTGCTTTAAATTTGACAACTTAATTTGATGTCCCCTAGACTAGGACGTTTGGGGCACACCAAGAGGGTCTTTTGAGAGATGCACATCCATTGGTGTAAAGTGTTGGCCAACTTTAAAAGAAAAACAAAAAGAAAGAAATCAAAGAATGCAGTACAGTAAAAACTTTGATCGGGTTTTGAAAATCACTTTCTATTGCACTGCATGGTACTTCTTGACAGATATTCAAAAGAGCAGTTCTGTAAAAAGCAAATTAAACACACTTCATGATCTGCTGAGGTCTTCACTGTGAGGAAAGCCGAGTGTGTGTTTCCCCCGCGTACCTGTCATGATACATTTATGTGGCACATTTCTGGGATGTGGGAAACATTGCGTCTGTCTTGATGCATTTCCCCTATGGCTTGCTCACACCCCACCCCTTGGGCAGGAGGAGTTAGAGTTTGCCATCATGCGGATAGAGGCCCTGAAGCTGGCCAGGCAGATTGCCCTGGCTTCCCGCAACCGCCAGGACACCAAGGTACCGGTTTGCCACTGCAGTGCACTGCCTCCTGGGAATGCTGTGTGTACCACTGTAGTCCAGGGATGCTTTGCTAACCATCGGCCAGGCAGGCCTGGTGGGTGTCCCCCAAGAGTGTGCTTTCCAAAAACACTGAAAGGTATCTCTTGCATAAACATGCATATCTAAGCTCTGCTTAACTCACAAAGGAAAGAACTCACAGATGGTAGTGCTAGCTAATTGGAGAACAGGAGAAGCTGAAGTATAGGTTAAGGTGGCAAAATCAGATATAATACTGACTCTGCAAGACTAAAAAATCATTGCCTTTGAGGTTATCTTTTTTTTCTGTAAATATTACTTGCTTCTCTATAAACAAAATTTGCAACTTTTCTGTTCTCTGCAAGTTCTTATCTAAACTTCACTGAGAATCAGCAGTAATTAGTAAGTGAGATCAGCGTTTGCCCTGAGTCATTAGACAAGGGGTTGGTCGACAGTCCTTTGGTGAAGGGCAGGTGGTAAACATTTCAGGTTTGCCGGGCACACATCTGGCCTGGGTCACAGCTGCCTGCCTGTCATTGCTGTGCCAGTGCAGCCTCAAGCAGTATGCCGAGAGATGTTGTGGTGATGTCTTAGGAAAACTCTTCTTCCTCCTCCCCCTCTTTCTGCTCTTCTTTCCCTTCTTCTCACCTTTTTCCTCCTTTTTTTTAAAACAAAAAAGGGCAGTAGGTCATTTGGCCTGTGGGCCAGTTTGTCAGTCCCTGCTTTTCCAGTGGAGGGTGGCATTAACAGGGTGTGGAGAAATCTTTCTGCCTGGCTCCCAGGTTTGGGGTCATTTTTCTTCACACTTTGAATGGGGTGCTGAGGATAGCCAGAAAATATGTTGCCCTCAGGCTGCTGGTGACCTGTATTCTCCGAGCAGTGGCCTCATTTCTACCCCTCAACCCACCCCTGAGTCGGGCAGTCCCGTGAACTTGGTTTGTCAGACCTAGGAAGAACCCTTCTTGTGTTCTGTGAGTCTCAGCTTTTCCACCTTTGAGATGTGGCTCCTCACAGTGACTGCTGGTTGCATGAGGACTTCAGATGACATGTGAAGAGCTACCCTATGCCCAGCACATGGTAGGTGTGCAACAAAAGGAAGGTGCTTTTGTTAACTAACAGTTCACCTTTGCCTGTTAGCTGATCAGATGCTCCCAACATCTCTGGAAGCAGATTGAGATCCTCCTATACAGATGAGGAAACCAAGCCTCTTAAAAGTATTTCACCAGCCTCAAACTAGAACTCCAGTCTTTAAATGGGGCCCTGCCTGTCTGTTTCACATAACACCTCATCCACGGAGGAGTCTCAGTACTTGTTCAGGAGTAGGGTTTCCAGCTGCTACTCTGCCCCAAGGGGGCCCACACATGTGGTCTTCTTGGTTGTACCTCAAAGAGAGACCCCTCCCAGAGACAGGAGGTGGCCACATTGTGGGTGTCCAGTCTGGGAACTATAGGACTCCAGGCAGAGATAAGAATGTAAATACAGATCAGTTATGTCATTGTTCTTGTTGCCAACCATAAAATTGGATTGAATTTCCATGAAGATGAGAATTTTAGGAAGCATTAGACAGTGATGACCCCCCCACCCCACCCCCACCCGAGCACACACAAGGTTTATCTCAATACCTTTGCAGTGCATTCCTGAACAGAAGTTTGGCACAGAACTGAGCATGTTCTGCTGAGTAGTTCCAATTGGGCTGGGAGTTTTCTGGGGTGCCCTGCCTCCTTCCTCCGAGAGCATGCCAGAGGTGGACCTCAGCAAACAGGCAAATAAGAGTAGAGGACCTGTCAGTTACAACCTGTTCTCAGACCATGTGTCCCAATTTTGATATAAGAAATTGTGTTACATGGATCCACTGAGTGTGGACCCAAGATGCAGCCTTATGTATTTCAGAATTGCATGCTAAAAGGAATATTCTATTGGGGTAGAACTGTCTTGCAGTATAAGGAACATCTTTCTCTACCATAGGAATCTGTATTGCTTTTGGAAAATACATTATGTGATAACTCTGGCACATGGAAAATAGATGCTCTTTCTGTAGCTAGCCAGCCTGAGGGAGATTCTTGGACTTCAGTGCGAGTAGATCCTTGTGAGTTTCTTGCTCACATTGATTCTTGATGGCCCCTCACTGTGTCGGAAAGTGCTGGTATATAGCACAGGCAGCTAGGTGTCCAATTTGCTCCTCTTTCTGCCACTGCTTTTTAGCTGGAGATGACAGAGCCCTGTCTGACAGCAAGGTCTTATGCTGGTGCTAACACAAAAAAGGAAAGTGCTTGGAATAAAGGATGTCCTATTGAGAGGATGAAAATTGGCAGGAACTGGGGGGTATTGGGTTATTTCTTAGAGCACCTTCACCTGTCATGTCTCTTTAGCCTGACAGAGCTGAGTTAGCCTTTGAGGAACTACAGTGAGGGTTCCTTTTTTGCTAACCAAGTCGTTAGAAATAAGAGGTCCCTAGGAGCTGGGGTGTGGGGCTGTAACCTCCTTTTTACTTTCCTCCTACATACTTCTGGCTAAACTTGGTTTCTCTCCCCAGGGTGAATTTGACCAGGGCTGCTGGAATGCTGCCCAGCTGCCTTGGGTTTAGAATAATCAGGTTGGACAGAATCTGAATGTCAGGAGTACATGGCTTTCCAAGGGGTGAAGGCACAGGGCCCTTGCTCTGATTTGTGTGTGACCTCTAGTTGTGATCTTGGAGCTGTTTGGGCTTTCCAGGGACCTGCTATGCAGACTGAAGGATGAGGTTCTGCGATGGTAAGCTCAGGATGGTGGCCACCAGCACCATGGGGTGTGGACATGCTATGACACCTATATCTGATTCCTCCAGGAGTCCTGGCTTGGACAAGCAGGAACCTGAATTTAACATGAGCTGGAGCAGGAGTTGGGTTGAGGGATCGCTTCTATTGTTGGTGAGCAGCCTGGCATTGTGTTGTTTCTTCCTCTTACCCTTAGAAAGACACACCACCCACACCCTCTCACCACCATTTGACAGTGGGACCAAAGAGGGAGACAAGTCTGAAAGCCATGAGAACAGTCTGAACAGGAGTAAGAAAGGGGTAGCTTGTAGGCCTCAGCTCATTTGCCATTTTTGAGGCTGTGTAGTCATCACCTGGAGCCTGTGTTTAAGCACTGGGAGATTGTTCCCATGTGGCTCAGATCCCTCTGCATACCTGCCCACCCTCCATGGACTTAGCTTAGTCTGCCATGGTCACTGGCTACTTATGACTCCTGGTTCTCACCCCAAGTGGCTTCTCCTACATGGCTCTCCCAGCCTTCGATCTGTACTCCTTCCCTCCACAGTTGGCTTCTGACTGCTCTGGGACAGGGATCCTGCGACCACCCAAGCCCTCAAGGTTTTAGAACTGGAAAGACCACAAGGAGAACTGTGAGCCAGGGTGAGTGACAGGATAACCCCTGGCTGCAAGGCCAGCAGGAGGCTAGGCTTAAGGTTTGCCCATCTGAAGGGGTAACAGTGGCCCAAGGGTTCTCGCAGGGCCCAGGACTTAAGGAGTGGATTGAGAATTGAAGTTGGTTGCAAAGACCCTTGCCTTCGGGCTGGTGGCCATTTTTACATTTCACTTGGTGATTCTAGTGTCTTTTTTTGGCCTCTTCAAAGTAGCAAGTAGAAAATTATGTGAGAAAGCTCAGCCTAAAAATATCTGATCTTAAAATATCAGTGAGAGACAAACCTTTTACTTTCAGTTGAAAACATTTCTTAGTTGTAAGGAGAAACCAGACTGTGTGTGATAAATTTCATTAATAGGTGGAAACTTGATGTGAGGATTAATTTAAATGGGTCTTCAAGTCATTTGTTTCTTTATTAAAAACACCAGGTGGCTGTCATGAAAGGTGACCATAAATCACTTTATAGGGTCTCATATCCCTTGCTTAGAAAGATTTGCTTAGAAAGATTTCATTTGCTTAGAAAGATCATTGTTTTATTCATTTTTCCATTCATTTTCTTGTTTTAAAAAGCTTAAAGATCATTAATTCTTTCATTAGTGATATTTAGCTCCTCCCCAGTATGATAGTTAGTTTTTGTTATTTTTTTGGTACTGGGGATCAAACTCGGGTCCTTGCGCTTGTGCAGCAGTCGGCAAAACCACTGAGCTAAATCCCTGGCCCTGATAGTTAGTTTTAATTAAATTAATTTTCTCTTGCCCTTAAGGGAGATGCCAGTTTATTTTGGGTCAGAGTTGAAAATTGTTTTGAGAAACCTTTACACCAAATCTCTCAGATCCTCAATTTCTTTGTCTTCAGAACAACCAGGCTGAGTTTGATGGCTCTAATATTCTCATTTTGAAGTTCTGTTGTTCTAATTTTTTAAAGAACACATTTTATAGTAATAGGAACAGGTTTTTTTTTTTCTTTCTTTTTAAGTCTTTTTTCAGGATTGTTTATGAACTTCCTCCTAAGTACAAGTATGGAGTCTTGATCTCAAGGTATAATTTCCAGTTACTTCTGAGAAGTTTCCCTGTGACAGGTAGAACTGTGGAAACCGCTTCAGGTGGCAGCGGTGAGCCCAACCATGTGGAGCCTTGTGGTCTGGTCGTGCCCTTGCTTCTAAGAGCCCAGCCTTCCTGCTGCCCATGACTAGTCACTTGTGCTCTGGTCGGGTGTCCTGTTAACGGAGGCACCTTGAGAACTGGAGCTTGAGCAGGTCCTGGCACCCCATTTGACATGTGAGTGAGTCTCTGGCGTCTGGGCTCTGCTCCCAGCCCTGACAGCTGATCATTTGGCACCACTTCAGGGGAAGCTCAAGGACCAAAGGCCAGGTAGGGTCAGCGAAATCAAGGCAACAGGAGTTCTCTTCCAGGACAGCCTAGATGGAGGATGTTGCATGTATACAACTAACTGGCCCCAATTCAGTAATCTCCAGTCCTATCCATTAAACTTGCACCTGAGCTTCCCAAGCTGTTTCCTTTCATAAGGACATTGTCCTTGGTGCTGTAGTAAGGTAAGCACGGTGGTTCTTGTGATCACAGAGACAGTCTGCTTGTGTGCCTTCTGTCTACTCCTTCCCTTTGCTGCTGGCTCTTTAATTTTACCTGCTGCATTTTATCAGTCTCCATCCTCGGTCCCCATATCTCCCTCTATTATACCATGGTGTTCTGTTCACCACTCAGTTTATTCTTATAATTTCCCAGAGAAGGAACAGTTCTCACTCTGCCTGTTAGACCACTGTCACTTCCCATCGAAGTGGATTTGTAACCAGCGTGCGGGGCACCTTGGCAGCTGTGACCGCACCATGAGGTTAATGAATAGGACTGAGAGTACAGTTGGTTTGTTTCTGTTGTGGTAGAAGTTGGCTGACAAACCTGGCCAAGTTGATTGATGATGCTCCTAACACTGCTTTTCAACTCTGCTGCAAATTGCTGAGCGTTTTGTGCCAAGAATAATTGTAGTCTGCTCCTGACCTCTGTGTGGCTAGTATCTGTCACCTGCAGAAGGCTAGAAAGCCTCACAGCAGTGTCATTTGGGTGGGGCGGGGTCGTAACACTTGTTGCAGGTCTAATCGGCAATTGTGGCTATGCTGATTGACCCAGTTTTCAGTTTTCTCATCGATGTAACAGCCTTAATGACAACCTGACTCTAATATCCAGACTCTGTAGCTTGCTGAAGTTGACAACTGGATCCTTTTAAACAAATGCCCCTTTACATTGAAATATGTCCAGTCTTACAAAAAGTGATCTAATCTGTGGTTATTCAAAACCAGGCAAACGTAGAGTAGAATTCAGTATCATTCACCAGCCAGATTTTCATTGGGAAAATGGAGCCTGCTGGATCATAGCCTTGGTCCTTATGCACAATGCCTAAGTGGCTTGGCGTCTGATAAATGGCAGCGATAAGCTGGCACTGGACACACTTGACCCCCAGGGCCCTGAGTTGCCGAGGCTCCTCCACTATCAGTGGCTCCATCTGGCTGCATATGTGCAGAATGATGGATTTCCATTGATTGTACCTGCCATTGCCCCCATTCATTAGTCTGCATCTTCTCATACTTTGGATGTTTTTTGTTTCAAAACCGTGCAACTGAGGATGAATGCAGTTCCCAGCAGGATGAATACAGTCCTCTTTGTTATATGGTAAAGGTTAACTGGAGGGTTTTTTTTGTTCTTATTTTTGTTTTCTAAATGAAAACTCATTCCACAGAGAGAGGCTGCTCACCCACCAGATGTCTCCATCTCCAAAACAGCCCTGTACTCCCGCATCGGGACCTCCGAGGTGGAAAAACCTGCAAGCCTTCTGTTTCAGCAGCCAGACCTGGACTCTGCACTCCAGGTTGCCAGAGCTGAGGTACTGTGACTTGTGGCATAGAGAAGGGCCACTCTGGCTGCCCTGGGAAGGTTATGGTGCCTGTCACTTGTAAATAAGTATGTATATATAACCACAAAGCCAGTGTCTGTGCAGGCACTTAATCCCTGGATGTTGCAGACAAAGATGTGTGCCACACCGGGGGCTCCGATCTAGACACCGTGTCAACAGACACGAATGGCTTTGTTTGATGTATAACAAAAGCATACAGCTTCCCAGTGGGCATTGGGAAAGTCTGATCTCCGATTTATTTCTATCTCTTGCTCTGTAAGTTCTCTGGATGTAATCAGGGTTTGTTCTAGAAAGTTTTAATATATTTATTTGCTATTTCTTTGATTTGGTCAAATTTGAATTCACTCATTTGGAATTAACCTTTCTCTTCTTCTCCCTGATTCTAGGTCATCACCAAGGAGAGAGAGGTCTCAGAGTGGAAAGACAAATATGAAGAAAGCAGGCGGGAAGTGATGGAAATGAGGTCAGTTGTGGGACTCAGCCTCCCTGGTGCCTGGGGATGCTGACCTGTAGCCCGATAGTGACTGTTATTGGTGGGGTCCCCAATTGGTGTCTTCCTTTGGAGAAGTCCTCTTTTCTGTATTTTACAGGGTAATATTTTTACAAGAGTACTTTAAGTAAATCAGTGTTATTAAAACAGTCTGCACATTGGTTAAGGAATGCAGTACAATAAATACATGTATAATGAAAATTCTCCTCTCCACCAGCTTTCAGTTCCACAACTCAACTTTGCCTTCAGTGACTTATTTTCATTTGTTCTATATTGTAATAGAAATAAAGAGCCACCATGTAATTCATAGTGCACTTAACTACAGTGGTGGGTGCTACATTAGTATCTAAATCAGTTACATTCCTGGCTACCGTTTTGAGTAGCAAGCAAACTTTTTGGGTTCTCACATCCTGTTTTTTTCCCTCACAGTAGAATCTTCCTGAAAACCCATATATTTTTGTTCTTTCCACTGATGCTTTCCTCCTAGCGTGTCTGAAGATTAACCAAGTGTGGTTTTCCACGTCCAAACTGAAACCCCACAGCTGTATTAGTTTTCAACCTTTTATAAAACTCTCTTTTGCGGGCAGAGTAGAGGGTTGTGAGTGGCTGTAGTTTTTTACCTGCACTGAAAAGAACAGGAGATAGTGAGAAGGCCCCTCTGCCTCCTGGGGGACCCGGAGGTGCTGTTTACTAACTGACAGGGTAGGATTTCAGATGTCACCAGCTGGTGCAGCGGCACTGCCATTAGATGGCCCTGCAGCCTCTGGGGCCAGGCCAGGTAAAAATCACACTGTTTTCTAGTTGCTTTGGGCTTGGTACTTAACTCTGTGCCTCACTTATACCTGCCTCATATCTGTAGAGTACAAGGATTGTGAACCAAGGCCCTACAGGCTGACTCAGCCTGGGTTACTTCTTAGCTCTCCACCCTGAAGCCCTGGCAACCTGGGGAAGTTTCTGGATCTTCATGTTCCAAGATCCTCATCGGTGATGCCAGGCACAGTGAGAGTACCATCTCTTGGTATGAGATGGTGTGAGGATGAGCTGGAAATACAAGGTAGTAAAGCAGTTTTAGATCCATGGTACCCCCACCGTTCTAAAAGGCATAAACCTCCCTTGTAGTTCTGTGATTCTTGCATGCAAGGTTTTCCTCAATCACGGAAAACACAAGGATCCTTCTGTGTAGGATCAAGGATGGACCAAGACGCCTCTGTCGTGGGTACCTTCTTGTCCAGGTTGAGGCGCTGATCTTGGGACGAAGGTGAAGAAGCCAGGGGCAGATGCCCAATGGCTGTGAAGCCTTCAGACTGCAGAACACCTCTGCTTTCATTATTCCTTTTAACCTCATTAAATTCCTCCCAGAGCCTAGGTCAGAGTCAAGGGGCATCCTGTACCAGGTAGTGGGCGGAGCCCCCAGCTCCTGCACATGACTTTCCAGAGTCACACACCCCGCTGAGGCAGATCAGCAGGGCCCAGGCTGCCTGGCCCTGAGTCTTTGTGGATCCTGGATCTGTGGCCGTTAGCATCTGTTGGTTCTCTTGGGGAACCATTATCCATCATTTGATAATGCAGATGAAACTCTGCATCTTTTCCCAAGGTTTCTTTTAGAAGATTAACTTTGGAGGGAGGGCTGCCCACATCTCTCTGCTTTCACTTGAGGGTAGCTAAGAACCAGGCTTATAAGAAGGGATCTTGGGTTTCTGTGCAGCTGCTATTTGTTGAAACTCCCCAAGAAGTGCTCCTTTAAGCCCATTCCCTGCTCCAAAAATGCAAGTGAATGAGAAATGGCCTCGGGCCTTGAGGAGCTTCTCTTCCAGTGGAGAACACAGGGCTCCTGTGCTGGGAGGCCAGCCATAGGAGAGGCTTCAGAAGAACATGCAGAGGAAATGTTAGAGTGAAGGAGAAAGCACTTGGAGGGGAGAACATTTGAGAAAGACCTTGAGAAAGAGACTCTGAGTTGAAGGTAGAGAGGGCATGTGAACAGCGTGGAGAAGGGCATGGAGATGAGAAAGCCAGAGCCCATGGGAAATCATTTGTTCACTGAACCACCATGTTCCTGAGATGGCTGGGAGGTGGTGAGATTGCTGAGGGGGATCAGGCGCTGGCTGCAGAAAGCTTCAGTCATGGGGCTGAAGGTTTGGCCATGGTGGGCAGTGGAGGGCCTGAAGGGTGTGTGTGGGGAAGCGCACTGTGTTTAGAAGCTCTTGTGGGTGTGCAGAACAGTGCAGTGTGAGGGGTGGTCACACTGTTCGCATCCAGCACCTAGGCCCCTGGTCCAACATTCTTCTCTGTCTCTTCCAGGAAGATCGTGGCCGAGTATGAGAAGACGATTGCACAGATGATAGGTTGGTATCCTGACTCAGTTGCTTCTACCTGCCCTGAGATTTCCTTACCAAGGGAGGCCTTTGAGAACATGAAATCCTCAGGAGGAGCGAGAGCAGCTTGGCGAGTGGGTCTCCTCCCGGGCCGGGAACTGGGATTTCTTGGAACAGCCTGTCAGGATGCGCCTCAGCATTCTTAATGCCTGTGGGAGCATGGTGGCCACCTCCATAGGCACTATTTGACCCACACAGGAACTGTCCACCTCATGGGAAAAGAGATTGAAGTTTGCCCCTGAGATGTTTGGAGGCTTTGGTTTTTGCTCATGGAAGAAAATAGGAATCAGATTCCTAAACCCTATTTTAGTTTGGATTCAAGCGACAGAATTCTCACACTCAGCCATTACACAGGGGTCTCGGGCCAGGACAGTAGAACTGTGGCAATTGCCTACCTCCTGGCCCTTCCTTCTGTGACTGACAGACCCTATTAATCAATCCCAGTACTCTCTTCCCGAGACTGCACACTGCCTCAAAATCAATGTTAACAAAGTGCCCCACAGCTAGCACTGACACATTGCTGATAAAAGAAGGCCTCTGGTTACAAGTTACAATTGGGCCTTCATTTTCTGTTCTATACCATCTTCCTTTTCTTTTTTGAAAAATGAGAAAAGATTTTGCAGAAGCACCAAACCCAAGTTTTTACATTAGTGATCACTGTTCAGAAGTAATATTATGACTTGGATCATGGTGTTTATCCTTCTAGCTGTTTAGTTTTAGGTTCATGATAATCAGTTTTTTAAAAATCTTTTTCGCTTAAGGGTATATGGAGTAAAAACTCCCCAGTCCCTGCAAGCCACCATTGATATGTTCCAGTTTGACATTCCGCTAGCAAATAAGCCCTCTCCCAAACATTTGGCTTTATGAGTCACATCCCCCCTCTAGCTTGTCCCAAGATAAATAGAACAGTAGCCTCAGTAACAGTGAAGAGGCCATTGAGTGCCTTCCAGAGGAGTTTTTTTGTTCTGTTTTGGTTTTGATTTTGGTAGTACTGGAGATTGAACCCGGGGCCTCACACTGAGCTGCACCCCTAGTTATTTTTTAATTCCAGACAGTCTCACTCAAATTGCCCGGGCTGGCCTTCAATTTGGAATCCTGCCTCAGCCTCCAGAATAGCTGGGAGTATAGCCATGCACTGTTGCAGCAGGCTCAGAAGAGCTTTAATTATATATGGTTGATTATAATCAAGGCCATTTCGCCCTGAGCTCCAGAAAAGCCCACTTGGTTGTGTCAACCTCACTGTATGCTTTCTATCATATGAAATGGGTTGAATTGGTTTAAGAATTTGTGAACACATATGGATGAGATAAAAACATTTTCAAACTCTGGGAATTGACAATGCTAGTAAAAGTGATCAGGATGAAAGATTTACCATACCTTGCTTCGCCAGTGCTTCTGTTTGCAAACAGTTAGGTTTGAAAACAAAAGTGTGTGGCAAAATGTTGCTTCTATTCGCAAACTCCTCATGGGGTGACAAGCATGACCACCCCCACCCACCCATCATCTTCCCCAAAATCATAAAATACATCGTTCGTAAACCAAGGTACACTGTACATCTGCCGAGTTGAGCAGACCTTTGCCCTCCTGGAGGCTTGAACAGGAGAGCATCGCTTAGAACTACCACAGCTCTTCCGGAAACATCTGAGCCACGCACTTGTAATTCCGTCCTTGGTGATGATGCATTGGCAGATGTTAGAATGGGTATTGAGGGCCCTGAGCTTTGCTCTGGAGAGAAGTCTGCCACAGCCAGCTTTTCATGCTTGGCTGGTACGTTTGATACAAGCAGACTCTTGAGAACTCAAAAACGTGAGAACCTCTCTAGTTAGCGTGAGTGGCCAGTCCCTGTGTGATAGAACAGTTTCTAGTTTGAATATTTGCAGGTGAGAGCAGTTGGGATGTTTTCAATCTGAGACATTGTTAAGAGTGTGCACAATGCAATTCCAGTTTGGTCCTTGAGAGAATGACAGCTTTCCCTTTCCCCTGACTCCAGGGATTATGGCCACATATGCTGCCTCCCTCCCTCAAGGACACCTGGTGTGTTTGGCTAGAGCTTCTCTCTCCAAGCACTGTAGATTCAGCCCCCTTTGAGCAATTTCTGTACCTTCTGGGTGGCTCTGAGAGACCCCTCCAGAGTCTAGCTGAGAGTAGCACGTCACTCAGGTTGATCGTGCCCCCCGCCCCATTCCTCATTCCTTGTCCTCTTAGTTACCCACTTTTCCAGAGCTTTTCTCATCTGAAAGGTGGCACATCCATGGTTGTTACTGTTACAGGTCATTAACTAAAGCCACTGTGCCTGTCCTCATAGAAGACAGCAGGGGCCTGGGGCATGACTGGGACCAGCTGTAGCTGTGCGTGGATGTACCTTTTTTGGGCAGCTGTGGGTTGCCACACACCCATGAGCGTTATCTGGATTTCATTTTTTCCTCTCCCATTTTCACTCACCTAACCAGCATCCCTCATGGTAGGGGAAACTGAGGCCCTGCAAACAGAACAGTGCAGAACCAGAGTGAACATAAGCATCTTGAAGTTGACACGAATGCAGCCCACCTGGCTAGCTCTTTCTGGTTCTGTGGCTCCCGTACAGGTTTCCCAGATGCTCCCACACGTGTGACACTGGTCCTGCCATCATTGTTCCTTCTATGAACATCAGATGTGTCTTATCAAATTCAAATACTGGCTGCTTAGAATTTAGGGGAAAAAGAGAGTTCTGTGCTTTCTGCATTCCAGGTTGTGCGACTGATTTTTTTCTGCTTTCCTAACAACTGCCCTGATTATCTGTTTTGCTTCCATTTTCTGTTGCTTCTTGCCCTTTGCTTGCAAAACAAACAGGCAAGCCTGGTAAGTAAATGCTTTTCCCCTAATTTTCCCCATTGCACCCCCTGTTTGTGTTTTGTTTTTTGATTTTTGTTGTTTTTGCTTCGTGTTTGCTGCATTCCCCACGTAATTTAATAACGTTTTGCTGAAAAAGCCAGAAAAGCCTTCTGAGGCATTGTTCTGTTGTCGAGTGCAGCGTGTTGCTGGTCTAAGGCTGATTTCCTGATTTGAAGAACCTAACTGCATTGGTCACGTATAAAAAGATTTGCACACCGTTCTCATCGCCCCAGTCTCCTGGGAACTGGGCAGTTCTATTTTTAAAAGGGTTCAGTGGGGAAGAAAGGAAACCTGAGGCAGGAGACGTCTTGGATCCAGGAAATCAGATGGACTCCGTTTGATAAATGACTCCTTTCCCTTCACTGGCTGAATTTGTATACGTGGCGGGGGCAGATCAGCTGGGAGTATGCTGGGAACTAAGGAAGCACCTAAAATGCAAAGAATAAAAACAAGCATTTGGCTACTAAGAAAACACGGAAGTGCCCTTTTTGAGGAGAATCGATGGAGCAAGCAGCTTGCCGGAGACTGTTCTGTTAGGCACCCCATTCCCCACGAGTCACTTCAGCACACTGTTGCAGAGATTCAGGGGTTCGTTATGGACTGGTGTGGTTGATAATGGGTCCCTGCTATCAGGCTCTTTCTAGGCATTGAGGGCCGTGTATAGTCTCATTTAATCTCCCAGTGAGACAGAAATAGCATTATCCCTGACTTCCGGTGAAGAGACCGAGACTCAGAGTTCAAAACCCCTGTCCAAGGTCACACAGGCGGGAAGCATCAGAACCAAGATTCAAACTTGGGTGATTAGATTTGGCAGCCTCTCAACCGTTGCTCTGTGTGGCTCCAGGCTGCTGAGTGAAAGTGGTGGAGCCCTGTGATCACAGAGGCAGGGATGGAGAGACATCAGGCATCTTCTCGGCCACCATCATCTGCGTCGTGAAGGGGTTGTTATGGATGCAGGTTCCTGGCCCCAGCCAGTGGGGGTGCGATGCGCAGGCTGTGCACAAGCCCTGCAGCTGACTCGAGCACACTCACCCGTGACAGCTGCCTAGATTTGTTCCCTGAGAGGTCAGGACCTTTGACCAGTTTCATTTCAGGGATTGAGCCCATTCAGGTGGTGGCCCCACCCAGCAAGGTAGCAAGATGTCCGTGTAGCAGGGAAAAGAACCAGCCCAAACCCCCCTGCTGTTACAGGAGCTGTGTCTTTCAGAGTCTAATCACAGGAGCCCTGGGTAAAAATGTGGTCACGATCAGGGCTTTGGGTTTGGGTTTGGGTTCTGCTGCTTCCTCAGTGAACAGTGACTCCATTTCACCGTCTGTAAAAGAAAACAAGAAAGTCTCCACATGGGTTACTATAAGGTTCACCTGCTCATTCATTGCATGGACTGAGGAGACATCAATTGGGGAGAGACATTCTTCAAGTCTCAGTCAGAGCAGTGGGCAAAACAATCCAGCGAACAAACAAAAATCCAGACTCTGGTGCCTGCCCTTGAGTGTGTGTACAGTGGGGAGGTGGGCGGCCAGCACACATGCATACATGCACATGCACACACACCTGCATGCATGTGCATGCACGTGCCTGGTCTAGTGATACAGAAGGGCTGCTGTTCCAGTGAGGAGAATAAAGGACTAGAGAGTGCAGAGGGAGCACATTCCACACTTTCTGGAGGCAGCAAGGGATCAGAGTCCTGAGTGCATTGCGGGAGCTCTTCGGCTGCCTGGTTGTAAAGACCATCAGGCTAAAGCAGAAGGGCCAGGGAGGATAGAGGGCAGAGTGTGTGGGGAAGGAGTCTGGGTTTTAGTCCTAGCACAGGGGTAAGCACTTCAGGTTTCTGAGCAGGAGTGAGGTGGGCTGGTTTGCACTCAGGAATCTCATGTGCTGCTGGGTACTGGCTCAGAGCATTCGCTGAGCAGAGCTATCAGTGCAGTGCTGGGCATAGGAAAGTTAGTGGTTGCTATTGCTGTCATTGTCGCCAAAGCAGAATCAGTACTCCAAACTGGACCCACGGTTAGTTTTGCCGTGCATCACTGGAGTTTGAGCTTGTGTCAAAGAAACTTTCAGTGTGAAATAGGATTTAGGGGAGAAAGTTTTGTGGGCTCTCAGTTTATGGGATGTTTCAGGGATGAAGAAATCTTTTTCTCTCTCAGTGACTGTCTGTCTTGCTAACCCTTAGAGACGTTCACCCCTCAAACCTAGGTCACAGCACCCTTTAATCATTCCCCCACTTAAATGCAGTAGTGATGTCTTTATCTGCTGGATCTGTTTGCTGTGGGGAAAATAGAGTCACTAGGGTCTCCAGTATTGGATTGTAAGAGCCTGCCTTGATTAGGTTAAAGGATAATGGTTAATTTTCACCTGTACAGGATCAAGTCTAAAATGCTGGGCCTGCAGGTTTCGTTTCTTTAGAGACCGCCTGGAAGGGCTTTGGGGAGTGGGTCCATTCCAGGGAAAAGCTAGGGCTTCAGATGCACCCACTGGTTAGGCTGAGTTGCATCTGAGGCCTTGGCTGGCCCCAAGGACCCAGTGGGGATTTCCGGTGCCATTGTTTGGCTCCTTTTCTCTCCTGCCAGAGGATGAACAAAGAGAGAAGTCAGTGTCCCACCAAACAGTGCAGCAGCTGGTCCTGGAGAAGGAGCAGGCCCTGGCCGACCTGAACTCCGTGGAGAAGTCTCTCGCTGACCTTTTCAGGAGATATGAGAAGATGAAGGAAGTCCTAGAAGGTTTCCGCAAGGTGTGTCTGCATTCATGGGCAGAGCAGGAGGCTGGGTGTGCATGGTAGAAAGGCAGGAGCTCTTTGAAAGTGTCTAGTGGGGACTCCAGGTCCATCGTGAGCTGACTGTGAGGAGGTGGATCCTTGAAGGCTCGGGAGGGAGTCAGGCTTGGCCTTCTGGAGTTCTACATGTGTCCTAGACTTGGTGAGGTTCCTGGCACTCCTGGGCATTTCTTCTTGTGAGCCTGACCCCTGTCCTCTTCATGCCAGAATGAAGAGGTGCTGAAGAAATGTGCGCAGGAGTACCTGTCCCGAGTGAAGAAAGAGGAGCAGAGGTACCAGGCCTTGAAGGTGCACGCAGAGGAGAAGCTGGACAGGTAACACATCCCTTACTCAGCTGGGAGTCCAGTGGTTCCTGCCATTGCTTTGGAAAGGGCAGCCAATCCATGTGCATTTCTTGGTATGACCTGTGCTAGGGGCACACTCAATTAGTATGTACCATGATAAAGGAGGGACGTATGTTGTAATGTTCAGGGTACCCAGAGCACTTCAGCCTTGTGGGAATTGGGGATGGAGGTCTTACTGAAATCCTATGTGCAGGCTCTGGTTGATGGGTTGGAGCAAGTGCCTTCTACCCAGAGTTGAGAAGAGGGAGGTAGAAGGCACCTGTGGTAATCGGTGGCCACCTATGACGGAGGATGATCATTTTGAGCCTCCTGTTCTCACAGGGCCAACGCTGAGATTGCCCAGGTTCGAGGCAAGGCCCAGCAGGAGCAAGCTGCCTACCAAGCCAGCCTGCGGAAGGAGCAGCTGAGAGTGGATGCTCTCGAAAGAACACTGGAGCAGAAGGTAACAGGACAAGGGTAGGGGCTCCCGCTAGTGGGGCTGGTGCTGTCCTGCCCGCAGCCAGGCTAGCAGATCAAAGGAGGCGGAGCTAAGAGCCAGAGCCAGCACAATGGTGGCACTTTTGGACAAGTTCATTCTTCATAAGCATACCTGTATCTCCCTCTGGAAGGTCCAGCTTAACACCAGCCCTGAGGTGGGCTTCCTTTCTTCCTTTTCTGAAATTCTCTGGTTATTTACTTCCTTTTTTTCATTCCTCTTCAATATTCATTCTTTTGTACAGTATTTGTTAAGCACCTCTGATTTGCCAGGCATAGCACTTGATTTGAACCTCTGCATCCAAGGTGCCTGTTAGTGAGAGGATGGGGTAGAGACAACCGGCTGACCCAGAGAATGTGTAGTGTCAGATGTCCTCTTGTTCCATGGGCAGGAGGCAAACTCCTGAGGTCACTTAGCTTGTCCCCAGGTTTCCTGATTTCCATGTGATACCCAGCCCACTATGTATATCCCCTCCCCAGGCATCCAGATGAGGAGCTCCGTCAGCCCAGGGGTGCTCTAAGAGTGCTGCGCCAGAGAGGCTGAGTCTGTGTGGGGGCCAGGCCCTGTCCTGGTGTGTTTCTTGAATGGGGGAGGTTTCTAGACATGTAGCCTCCTTCCAGTTTATTTCTAAGGGCTGGGGATTTAGCTCAGTGGTCCCGCTGCCTGCTTTGCAAGTGCAAGGGCCTGAGTTCGATCCCTGGTACCAGAAAAAAAAAAAAAAACGTTTCTGCACACCAGTTTACCAGTTTATTGCTGAGCCTTAGCATTGCCCTGGTCATCAGCACTCAGCAGCCTCGAGTAGCAGTGCATTTTATACATGTAGGCATCGATGAGCACTTGGCATTGGTAGGCAAATGAGGATCAGCCTGTCTCCCAGGTGGTTCCTGCTACCGAAGAAACACCCGGAGGTTCCAGCATGGCCTAGAGAAGCATCTTGGCCAAATAGCAGTAACCTCTGCTCTGGTCAAAGACTAAGTCTCACCTTACTTAGATGATATCAGAGATAGAGCCCTGGGAATTAACAAGCTCGCCTCCTCACCCCACTTTGCCATCCATACGGCTGTGGGCAAGGCTTGTCCTTCACCTCAGTTTCTAGGTTCCCTTCAGCTCTGCAAACATTTGAGATGTGAATTTCCCCAAGTCCAAGTTGTTCCTCGCTTGTCACTGTGTCCCCCAGTATGTTCCTAGTTCTCCAGAATCCAAATGGCGAGGAAACGCATGGTACAGATCACTGTTTTCATTCTGCCTTTTCCACTTAGGATGAAAAAGGCTAATGGTCACCAGGCAATTTAATATCAGAACTGCATTTTAAAAGGAAAGAGCCTGGTCCTTGCCAAATATGCCAGATATGTTGAGCTTAGCTCCTTCATGGGGTAGTTTGCTTGGTGGTGGCTGATGATGCCAGGATAGAGCTTGGAAATTCTCCAGGCTTCAATATCTAATGGGTCTGCTTATGCTTCTTCTATGAGTCACTTGGCATTTTGTTTAATAAGTATAATAACGAAGCTATAGAACCACCAGGTCAACTTGAGTTTATTTTCCAGGCTGGCCACATCTGACTGACTGTGTGAACATAAGTAAAGTGCTTAATCTTTCTGAGCCTCAGTTTCCTCACTGAAAAAAATATGGTTATTAGTGGCTTCCTTTAAATGACTGACATTAGAACCCAAAATGTCTAGCGTGGTGACTGGCACATAGCAAGAACCTAGTAAGATAAGCAGTTGTCATTAGCAGCCCAGCAAGGCAGCAGTGGTACTGACAGTGACTTTAAGATTCATGGTCAGATCCAATCCCATTTGGAGCCTTGTCTTCTAGCAGTGCCTCTCTGAATCATGACCACAGAGTGTACATGCTAGACAGGAAGTAGGGTAGCTGAAGTAGACTATGCTTTCCCCCACTGCGTGACTCCATGATGGATGGCACCAGGAGTCCTACCCCCTGGCTCTGACCTGGAACATGTTCCAGAAAGTCCTGCGGTTTCCAGGGAAGAACCTCAGTACGGCCCCAGGGACAGGTTTTTGCTAATGACTCACCTCCCATAGAGACCTTGAGGAAATGCAGACTGCAGAATGTACCTAGGATGCCAGAAAGACCTGTCCCCTTGGAGACAGCCTTTAGGGACCTTTGTGCCATTAAAGCAGGTCAGCCTGGGGGCTTGGTGTCTAGCTCACTGAGAGCTATGCCATGTCTGCATGATGGGGACATGTCACTGGATGTCCTGTCACACAGGCTGGAAATACTGCTGTGCAAACATGGTTGGTTGCCCTTGACTGGTCTTCAAAGGATGCGCGAGGTGCGGCATGAGGAACATTTTGAAGCTACCTTGCATCTACTCTGCCTACTTCACAACACCTGTCTCCATGGCAGCATCTACAGGGCATCTTCCAAATAATGCCAGTGTTTCTATCCAAGTAGAATCACCTGACCCTTCTTGTGCAGTTTCTCCAGAAACCCCAGACCGTCGTTACCCCAGAGCTTGTCCTTCATAGGCAAATAGAGGCAAGCACTGTATTGGTGAACCCTGTACCATGCGCTGGTCACTCTGCTAGGGACTTTGCATTTCTTGCCTCATTTATTTCTCAGACAGCTAGAGATGTGTGCTAGAGCAGGTGGTGGGGTTCCAAGTCATTTCTCTCCCTGCTTTAGACCACTTTAGGGGGGACCAAGAGGCAAGTCAGACCTCATCCTTACAAAGTTCCCAGTGCCTCTTCCAGTTGGCTTGATTTCCAACACCAGAAACTTCTTTCTTGTCTCTACTTTCAGAATAAAGAGATAGAAGAGCTCACCAAGATTTGTGATGAACTGATTGCCAAAATGGGGAAAAGCTAACTCTGAACCAAATGCTTGGACTTGACTGTTGCGTGCAATATGACCACTGGCACACTGCTGTCCCTGGAGTTACACGGACAGGTTCTGTTTTCACTTTTCGTATGCACTACTGTATTTTCTTTCTAAATAATGTTTGATTTGATTGTATGCAGTACTAAGGAGACTATCAGGATTTCTTGCTATTGGTTTGCATTTTCCTAGTATAATTCATAGCAAGTTGACCTCAGAGTTCCTGTATCAGGGAGATTGTCTGATTCTCTAATAAAAGACAAATTGCTGACCTTGGCCTTGCCCTTTGTACACGAATTCCCAGGGTGAGCAGCTTTTGATTTAATACGAACATGTACAGCGTGCATAGGGACTCTTGCCTTAAGGAGTGTAAACTTGATCCACACTTGCTGATTTGTTTTAAAGAACGCATGTTTCAAATAAAATCTTCTATTGTAAATAAATTTTTTTCTTTGGATCTTGGCAGTGAGTGTGGTTGTGATTTATTTTCTGGGAAGGGTTGAGTCTTTTCTTGCTTTTGTTAAAGAATATCAGATTTGGACTTTTGCTTTTTGGCTCATTTATCTGGGCTCACTTCTTTGTCTGTTGATTTAAATAACATTTCCTTCATTATTGTGGTGGGGTTTGTAAATGAAGCTAATGAGAAATATTGACTCACAACTTTAAATAATTAAGGGGATGCATTGGATTAGCTTAGGTTTTCTTTTTATCAAGTGTCTGCTTGTAGGAGACAAAATCTGTTTCCTTCTGTTGGGTCAAGGAAGTAATGGGCTGTTGCTCTTTCAGTTCAGTCCCTTAGTGTGTGACGTTGTGCATTCCCTTCTAAGTGATTAGGAAAAGGCGAGCCATTCCGGAGGGGAGGCAAGTAATTAAGGTACTTAGGCCTTCCCTGCTCTGACCTTGCTCAGGGACCTCATGGAGAAGAGTGGGTAAATGCGGGCATTGAGAGTTAGAAAGGTACTTGTGTGGTTGTTTTCCCCCGAGGGTTGCCATAACAAATCATCCCAGTTTAACAGCTTTAGAGAAATTGGTTCTTTCTGGAGCCAAAGAAGGAGAATCTGCCACCTTCCTTTCCGCTTCCAGTGGTTGCCACAGTCCTTGGCATTCCTCAGCTTGCATATACCACCCTTCTGTCTCTGCCTGTCTCACCATGGCCTTCTCCTATCTGTATTTCTGTCTCAATTCTCCCTCTCCTTTCTTATAAGAATACCCACTGTTGGACTTAGAGCCCATTCCAAATCTTGGATGATCTCATCTTGAGATCCACAATTACATCTGCGGAGACCCTATTTCCAGATAAGGTCACAGTCACAGGTAGCAGGGATTAGAGTATGGACATTTCTTTTTGGGAGACACGTGGGTGCCAGTGGGTAGGTAGTAGAGGTTTTGATCATACAGAGGACCTCTGAGCCCTTATGGCCTTCAGCTCAGATCCCTCTTTCTGGCCCAGTGGCTGTGGCCTACTCGCTGACGTAGGGCTACCCCTCACTGCCTGGGCAGACCTTAGGCAGCCTTAGTTATGGGGCATGGGGTAGGGTGGGGTCGCTTTTGTGACTTAGAAGGTGAATGAAGTTCAGGTGACCCAGTCGGTGCCAAGGAGAGAGGTGGCTGTGGGCATGCGTGGCATCTGAGAGTGTTTCATTTCTGCTGCACTTTGGGCTCCTCCAGCCACGCAGGCCTCTGGTCCCCACCATCACCCTCACCTGACAGGCTGCTGAGCCAGAGCAAGGGACTGCCTCCCTCCTCTCCCAGCATCCTTTGCTCACTCCTCCATGCTAAACCTTCTCTGTCCTGGCCCCAGGTTCTGCCCTTGACTGCTCTAGTAGAAGCTTTTATTTTTATTCAAATAAAACATTTCCATTACTAAAAAAACCAGTCGGAATTGTAGGTAAGAGGGTGTGATGGTTGATGAATGTGTCAGTTTGAATAAGAGAAGCTGAACTAAACTGGCTCAGCAATTCCACAATGGAAGACCCACCCTAGGGTGGCTTGTCGCGTGGATAGTGTAAGGGGACCTGAAGAGGGAAGGCTCACTTCTATTTCCCTGGAGGAGCTCCGGTCTTGGCCTTCAACTTGGACATCATCTCCTGTCTTCCAGTGAAGACTTACCAGCTTCCGGCACAGATCCTCAGCCTTCAGGGTGGACTCTTCAGCCGTCCATCACATACTCATCGGCCTCCTGATCCAGACTCTCAGCAGACACTCTGTGCCAGTGAGCTCCAGACCTTCTACTGGATCCCTCAGTCTCCAGTGCACAGACAGACCCTCTGCACTCTTCTGCACCTGCCTGTGGGCGGCCATTGTAAGCCAGTCTGTAAATTCTTACATACTTGTATATCTTGTATTACATCTGTGTCTGTGCTAAACACTGACTGATACAGCAGGGAGAGAGCCAGTCATAATCTCCAGACCAAGAAGCTTTTGATGCTTTTATGTATTTTTTTTTTTTTACCTTTTTGTCTTGAAATATGAAATGTGTTATTTGTGTAGAAAAACAAGATTATTTGGAGTCCTGCAGTAGCAGACCCACACAGCCACCTGCAGGGGTCCTGTGTTGTTAACTTTTTTCCATCTAATCCTGTAATCTGACCACTGTATTATGTAGTAAATTGGGGGGGGGTTGTATTTGCAGTCCTAGGGATCAAGCCCAGGGCACTCTACCACTGAGCTATATCCTCAGCCCTTTCTTAGGTTTTATTTTGAAACAAAGTCTTGCTAAGTTGCCCAGGCTGGCCTCAAACTTTCGCTTCTCCTGCCTCAGCCTCCCGAGTAGCTGGGATTACAGCCATGCACCCCCATGCCCAATTTAAAAAATTTTTTTTGGTAAAATTATTTGTATTTACTTAGAAGCATTCCAAATGTCAACAAAATAGCTGCATGTTTTATTTTTTTGCAATTATAGTGGTATTCAGTTAACAGTTTATATAAGCTGCATCAGAAACAACTACAGATGGGGCCGGGGATGTAGCTCAGTGGCGCCCCGCCTGGCTGGCAAGTGCAAGGTCCTGAGTTCAATCCCCATTACCACCAAAAGAAAGAAACAATTACAGATGAAAAAGTGACCATCCCTATATATAACTGCTGTGCACCAGCAGGAAGCTGCTGTAGACTTCCATGCCAGTTACAGCCCCAAGCTACCATGCAGTGGCTATTGACAATACCACCAGGGAAAGCTGTCTAAAGACATGCTCAGGGATACATGAAGCATAACCCCCCCAAAAGACTGTAAAGTTTAAAAGCAAATCATGCATAGTCTTCAAGTTCAATATTTTCTTTAAAATGATTGAATTATGTACAGGATGTTAAGACAAGAAAAAAAAACCCTGCTAGAATCAACTTATCTTCACCTTCTTCCTAGCTTTTTACAGCCTTGGCAGCTTTTTTTTTTTAAATATCAGGCTTTCCTTGAGCTCAGCAATATCCATCTTGTGTTTTTCCTTCAGCCCGTGTTTAGTTATTTTTTTCTCAGGGAGGAACAGTCACCCAGTGCCAGTCTACTCTCACTTGCCTGGGCGCTGTCCCTGGAGCCCAGTGTGCTGCAAACCAACAAACTTTTGTATTGGTAAATACAGCCATTCATTTTAAATGGCTCCGTAGCATTCATGGTACCCAAGTCCCCCTGATCCCCCTGGGAATGGGGGATGTTGTATGGTTTTCCATATGATGTTATCATTCTGCGTTCTGCATGAGTACCCTTATGTACATGTGTGAATAGACTCCTTTGGCTAATCCTAGGAGTGGCTCACCTGGCCTATAGGTATTGCTGCTCTAGCCCAACACCGCTGGGAACATTGGCTTCATCGCATGTTGAGTTTACTACTTGCAGTGAGGCAGGACATATGCCAGGGGGAGCCCTGAAGGAAGCCATATGCAGGAAGAGGGTCTTGGGAAGGCATCACACAGGATTTGGACCTGGAGTAGGTGGTTCGGGGGAGGGGTTAATACTTTGCGTGTATTGGATGCTGTTGGTGAGGGACAGGGACAGTTCTAACACTGGTCTCTCACTGAGCTATTAGATCCACACTTAGCAAGGTAAAGCTGCAGGGGTCAAGGAGCCAAGATTGAGAGGTGCTTGGCCCTTTCTGTGTTTTCCATAATGTGCATGATGCTCGTGGTGTGGTATTGTTTTGCTTGATCCACCACAGTCCTAGTGCTCTGCCCTATGCTCGTGTTCTGACAGTGCTTATGGTCAAGGCCTGGCTGTGAATTCCCCACCAGCTCCTGGATTTCAGATACTGTCTTGTTCTTCTCAAAGGATGTGGACATTTTCCCCCCGATGGCCCAGCTCACACCTCAAAGAGCTGTACTTTCCTTGGTGCTGCAGATGGAAACCAGGGTTTCTTGCGTGCCATGCAAGTGCTCTATTCCTGAGCCACACTCCTGACCCAGATAGGCACACATTTTTAAATTTGGGAAGCCCAATGCCAAATGCTATTCCCCTAGATAGCCTCTCTCTCCCTCAGTGATGTATTCCCGTTGAGGTATGTGAATCATCCCCTAAGCTCCTCTGCCTGTCAGCTCACTTTTTTGTTGAGCGACCTCACTACCCCAGCACAGCCAGTAATGCAGCTCTGTCCTCCAACTTTGTTCAGCATGCTTCACTGTGCCTACTGAGTACTTTATTTCCATTCATGTGACTCACCTTGGACGCCCTTAAAGCCCATGTCAAGGTCAACCAGAGGTACAAGTTGTGCCCCTCTGGACAAGAGGTTAGGCCAGAGATAACCACGGTCCTCTTCCTTCACTTCCCAAGGTGATTTGGCAGGAAGTGGGAAGGAAAGCCCACTGCCAGCAACTGCCCCTGGTGAGAAGCTAGTCTCTAAGATCTCAGCTCTGCCACCTCTGCCTGTGTGATCTGGGTAAGTCACTTAACCTCTCTGGGCCCAAGTGCTCATGTCTCTACTTTCCCATAATGCTGTTGGGAGGAAGACCTGGCCTCCAGATCCATGTGGGTTGAGATCAGCCACTTTTCCTTCTACTCTTCCTGTCACACATGTACTCTTGCTCACTCTTGAGGTGGCTCCCAAGGACTATTTATGTCATTTTGTTTTGCTGATCAGTGGAAAGAGCAAGAGGATGAGGCACCTGAGCCCCATCCAGAGATCCCCAGCAGCTTTGAGATTCTCTGCATCCTTTAGGAACCTCAGTTTGCCAAGACAGCTGAAATCTTTGACTTAGCACTTCCATGGGCTATCAAGTCAATGGCAATTGAGATTAAAACTTTGTGAGGACAGAGAGTGGAAGGGAATGTGTGGGGGGGACACAAAAGGGAGGTGATCACTGATGGTACTGGTAAGAGATGTGTCCTATCCATATGAGCAGGTTAGGGGTGGGATCATGTATGATTTCTTTTCCATTAAAGTTTGGGGCTCTACCCCTTGGGTGTGAGATCTGAGGGGCCCAAAGCAGAGACAAGGAGCAGCCACTGCAGCCATCATCAGATCTTTCTTTTTTTGTACCGGGGA